AATTTTAACTTTAGAATCCACAGGAATTGCATAATTCTGTTTTTCTCACTGTTCTCTACAGCAAGTGAGAGGATGCAAACCTTGCCAAAGCTTGATAAATTAATGAAAAAAAAAAAAAAAAAAAAGAAAAAAAAAAGAAGGAGGAAATGGTTTGCCTGCAACACCCAGGGCTTGGATGCAGCAACCCATGTCTCAAGAACTAAATATCTATGAAGTAGAAAAGCCAGGGACTACTGTCTCTGCATGCAAGTGACATTTCCACACACCAGCCCCCCTGCCATTTATTATCAATACTTCTGTCCTTTCCAGACATCCTGTCTCCACTTACATTCCATTTTCAGTTTGCCCTCAGCTGGCAAGCACAAGATGAATCCCAGCTCTGAAAAACCACTGGAAGAATTTTTTTTTCCAACTATCAGACTACCGTATTTCTTCAGAAAGTATTCAGGTTGAAGTATTCAACCTGAAATGCATTTCAAATACTTGAAGTACTGCTGTTCCAAATGCAAAGAAACCATTCAGATGTGGATATAAGATCCAAGTTTTATGTAAGGACAGATTTACACAGGACTGTAAAGTAAAGCAAAAGAAGCCTTAAATAAGAAAGCAAGAAGCTGCACATAATAAAAATGTGACCAAGTGAGGAAGAGGAAAGAAATGGATGCACATGCCATGGTATCTTCAATTTCAAGTCTGCCACCCCACCAGTCTGAACAAGTGCAACACAGACAGCAAGGAAACAAGAGGCACTTTGTGCAGTGTGGGGTTCTGCAGTGGGGAAGAGGGATGAGAGATGAAAAGGATCTCTTGTGATGCAAAGAATGCAGCAAAAGTCAAGGATGGCAGCAATACCACTGTAGAAAACTTGCTTTTCCTGTAGTGACTCAATGCCCAGGCAGCAGGAGAAATGTGTGTACCCAGCAAAGCTGAGACAGGCAGGAGAAGCAATGAGAACATTTTCTCATGTGTGGAGCTGATGGCTGACAAACTGGGGAAAAGCTGTGATCACAGGCGTGCTTTGGCTTGTGTGCCTCTCAGTAAATTAGTTTTGCATTCCTGTTCCCAGTCATTGCCTAAATTAATATGTATAAGGTGAACTGGTTCTGAACTTATGGGATTGAGAAATCTGAAGTGAGATTTTTTTTTTTTCTCCCGCCCAGCCCTTCTATTGGCTTCAGAAAGAAATTTGCACAGTGTTAGAGGTAAGGCTTATTTTACCTCCTCTGACATAAAAGCACCATGTGTATTCTGGGTACAGATTTCAGGTCGAAAAATATATTTGGAGCTGTCAGATAACAATCAGTGGCAAGGCAAATCAGCTTTTACTGGTATGAAAGTTAATGTGACAGCAAATAAAGAACAGAATACCTACGAAGGAAAACCAAAGACTAATAAAACAGTGTAAAGTTATATTTGGGAAGCAGAGATAAGCAGGTGGCCAGAAAATTTTCTGATTTTCAGACCTCTCTGTGAACTTCTATTGCACAGTCCTAGAAAACAAACTGGTCCTAGATCTATTTTTTTTTTTTTAACTTACTTGCAATGAGTTTTGCTTAGAAACCCTAATGAGACACAGTGATTTCAGCACAGAGATCTTCAATTTCTGATGTGAGTGTATGTTCCTAGTGGCAGGTCCCCAAAGGAGAATTCTGTGAGCTTTTGTGGGGCACATGGAATCCCAGAATCCATAGAGGAAAAGACCTCTGAGATCATTGAGTCCCACCTGTGACCGATCCCCACCTTGTCAACTAAACCAGAGCACTGAGTGCCACATCCAATTGTTTTGTGAACACCTCCAGGGATGGGGACTCCGCCTAGGCAGTCCTTTTATTAACACACTCCTTTAATTCAGCCCTGCCTGTTGGTCTGAGGGATGCACGTTCCACAAATTCTTTTTCTTATTTGGTCTATTAAAACTATTTGTCCTGTAAAGAATGAATGGGAATGTTTCCCCTGAGCTTGAACTGATTCAAAGGCACTTTGTACAGATCATTTGCAGCTTTGGTGAATGCTTTCTTCAAACTTAGAAGTGTCAGCAAATACTTCCTTATTATATGATGCTTCTCTTTAGTCTTTGCTTTTTTTAAAGATGGACTGTAGGAAAACAAATGACCAAACCTGATCTGCACTGAGCACAAGACTGTACATTGTGTGCTGACTGGGGGAAAAATGCATTTGCTGGCTTGCTAAATTGAGATAATACTTTGGATGTTGTCAGACAGAAAAACAATTAGAGCCATCGGATGCTTTGCTGACGTGTGCGTTGTCACATGGAGAGATGGCTTGGTCAGTGCCAGGAAATCTGAACTGTTCAACCCTCAGCAAGTTTTTAAGTTAATTAATAAAGTTCCTTACAGCTGGGCTTGGAATGTGAGGTCTGCTTATTTGTGAAGACAAGTGGTCCAAGAATAAATAGCAGAGGTCACTGATGAGACCTGTGAGGTGTTTTCTCAGCCACTGCTATGCTGCAGGCTGGTAACAGATTTTCTTCTGCTTAGCTTATTGGTATGTTAAAATGGTGTTAACCTGAGTGAAGTGTTTCTGTGTTTGTACATGGTTAATGTTTGTACAGATAAAAGTTTTCTTTGAATTAGCTAGCTTTATGTGGGAAAATGTTTATCAAAACCTCTTTGGATTTTCAGGTTCTTGTTCATGTCTCAAAAGACTATTTCTCTATACAACTGATATTCTTAAAAGTGTTCACTTTTCTATTGAGCGTGCAAGTCCATTTGAGATCTGGTTTTACTTACAAATTTTGCATATACTTCTGAACAGGTAGGTTTGGGCAGGATTTTGGGTGTGTTTGCTGGCCTGACTTTACTGCTTGGTGCTTTTCTGCTAAAGCTCATCCTGTTGGTGTGGTGGGGCTCTAACAGGCTCTGAGGTTGTTGCTGCACCAGCCTGTCAGGTGAAGATCTTCCAGGTGTCCCTCTGCATCATGTGTCAGCATTTGTCATCTGCTGGGTGAACTCTTTGGTTGTAGAGGGGAATACACTTTTCCCCTCTAGCTTGGGGGCTGCAGTGGTGCATCTTTTAGATAAAGGAAGAGATGTTCACATTCCCAGGAGAAAGCAGCTCTGGTTAGACTGTAAATGTGAACAGCACTAGGTATTTGTGTAGTGTTCTCTGCACCCTTTCTGCCTCCATGCGGTGCAGTTCTGTTCAGTCCATCATCATCATCAGATTCCTTGTTTCTCATGCAACTCCACCCTGCCTGTCTTCACTAGTCTCACCTAATTTTCACATTTCTTTTACTCCATCCCTGTGTTATCCATTTTCCTGGCACTTAATTCTTCAAAAATATTGTCTTTAGTTTTATCACTTTATCCATGTGGGATTACCTGAGTACATGAGCCACTTTTATCATGCTATCAGCATTTATTTTCCCTCTATCTGCTTAAGCAGCCCAGCTGTCTCATTAGGTTTTCTTTATTTGATTTTGGTTTTTTGTTGTTGGTTGGTTTGTAGGTTGTTTTTGGGTGTCTGCTTTCTTGTTAGTTTCCGGGGTTTTTTAAGATTTAATCATCATCATTATTGGTGATTTGGTTTTTGTTTCATTTTTGAGGGAACATTCTGTCTTCTGAAGACAACAGCTTTTAGTGGGTTTACTATGAAATTTTTTGCGTAGTATTATTGCAGAGAAAAAAAACTAGGAGAAGACATCAGTCAACACTGGTTCCTCACAGAGCCAGCACAGTGTTGGCAGGGGGTTAAACCACCCCTACAACACTTTCCCTGATGCATCCCCTTGTTTTAGAGGGAGAGAGAAGCAATCTGCTCGCTTTGCTCTCTGGGTTCTGGTACGAAATGCATAGGTTTGTTGGGAATAGGAACCTTCAACTGCTTCTGTAGAGAGACAAAAGTTGAACCCTCATGGATGGCTGTAATAAAAAATGTTTCCCCATTGTTTTTCTGCAGCTCTACCTGCTAGAAATTATTGAACAAACACTGAAAGCATCGTTACTAGTCCCTGGAAACATTCAGGCAGCATATAAAGGAATAGGGGCACCTGTTACTGGAAACTGTTTATTCTGAAGGTAGTGCTATTTCTCTGGGTGTTCTTTTTGTAACAACTCATAAAATTTTAGGAAATAAACTGTAATGAAACTTTGGGTAAGTCTGCAGAAGAGGTAGACATTGTTAAAGGATTGGATCCTAGAATGGAATCACAGAATTACTGAGGTTGGACAAGAACACCAAGTCCAACCTGTGCCCAATCCCCACCTTGTCACCCAGCCCAGAGCACTGAGTGCCACATCCAGTCCTTTCTTGGCCACCACCAATGGTAGGGACTACAAAACTCCCTGGGCAGCCCCTTCCAGTGCTTGACAAACCTTTCATGATTAAATTCCTCTGGATATCCAACCTGAGCCTACCCTGGCACAACTTGAGGCTGTTCCCTGGGAGCAGAGCCCAACCTACCCCTGGCTCTCCCTCTTGTCAGGGCATTGTAGAGAGCCACAAGGTTACCCCTGAGCCTACCCTGGCACAACTTGAGGCTGTTCCCTGGGAGCAGAGCCCAACCTACCCCTGGCTCTCCCTCTTGTCAGGGCATTGTAGAGAGCCACAAGGTTCCCCCTGAGCCCCCTTTTCTCCAGTCTGAGCTCCTTTCCCAGCTCCCTCAGCAGTTCTTCATCAGACTTGTAGTCCAGGCTCTTCCCCAGCTCTGTTCCCTTCCCTGGACGTGCTCCAGCCCCTCCATGTCCTTCCTGAAGTGAGAAGCCCAGAACTGGACACAGATTTGAGGTGTGGCCTTACCAGTGTCCATAACAGGGGGACAGTCACTGCCCTGGCTCTGCTGGCCACACCATTGTTTGCCCAGCCCAGATGCCACTGACCTTCTTGCCCACCTGGGCACAGCTGGCTCAAATTCAGCTGCTATTGACCAGCACCCCCATCCTTTTCTGCTGGGCACTTTCCAGCCACTCTGCCCCCAAAATGCGTGAATGTGTGGTTCCTGTTGTTGTTTTGAAAGAAAGAGGTTGTGTTGGTTCTCCTACCTGATAGCTGTCAAGGTGAAATCGTCAACTTTTCAAACTGGCCATTCTTTGCTCTAAACACCAGGCTTTTTCTCTGTTCCAGCTGCTGGAAGAAGTCAGCTGCATTGTCTTTGCTGCAGCTGCAAGAATGACTTGACTGATTTGCATTCATGGCTCTTGGATGATCTGGTGAACCATGGAGCTCAAAGTATGGGTGGATGGAGTGCAGAGAATTGTCTGTGGGGTCACCGAAGTCACAACATGCCAGGAAGTTGTAATAGCCCTTGCTCAGGCTATTGGTGAGTACTGCCAGGTGGGAAGTGGGGTGAAGCTAAACCCAGGGGAGGTGGACGAGCACTGGGTACCAGCAGGGCAGAAAATGCAATGCACAGTGGGATAATCTTGCAGTGTAAACTTGTAGCCTTGGATTTTTCACCTGCCAGAGAGAGACTGAAAAGACAGAAAAGAAACATTTTGAAGTCGACAACCTTTCCGTCAGTAAAAAAAATTACTCCCTAAGTAATAATAATTATGCTGCCATTGGTTGTTTTAAATACAGCCTGGACTAAGGAAGGTTCTAAACTGTCAGTATTCTGAGTACCAAAGAAAACATAAAAGCAATGCAATATAATTGGTTCGCTAATGATGTTCATTGAAATTATATCCACTCTAAGTATCATTAGCTATATTGGGAATAGTATAGATCACTGAAATAGATCCTTCATGGTCTCCTCTGACGCCTGCATGCCACATAACTCACTGTTCATGAAGGAGTAACTTGGAAGTCTTTACACTGTTAGCCCTTTGCTGAACAGTCTAGAAGAGAAAAATAAAATCTTTCAGGCTCCTCCACAGAAAAGCCTTGTAAGATATTTCTCAGTGCTTAAGGGCATCCTGAATAAGCCTCAACCTCATCCTGTCAGTATTTCCTATGCTGATACTTATTCTTCACTGAAATGTTATAATTGGCGTTACAAACTATTTAGATTTAGGCATTAAAACCTATGTTTTACCTAAAATTAATAGTTTAAATGTGAGCTTCTGCATTTTTCAGTATGCCAGCAGTTTTTCAAGATTGTATTAGCAGTCTGACTCAATTTGAAAATAATGATTTTCTAATAGAAAGTTAGACCTCTGAATATCAGCAAGGTATTCTCCCTGTAAGCATAAAGTCAATTTCTCTGAAATTGATGTTTATTTATTTAAATGTTAAACTTTTAAATACAATTTTCATCTCCTTGCATCTGATGGAGTGGAAGACAGGTATTTATTTGTTTTATACTCTAAGAGGATTGAACGAAATGCAAGCATGTGCTTATCTATATGCACCAAATAACTTTTGAAGCTTCATTTTAAAAACTGTAGAAAGTCAGTTTGTCTCTCAAAGCTTGTAGTTGATGTTAAACTATTAAATGTTTCTTTACTGGTTTAATTGCAGCTTTTTGTTTAATGGTAGTTGGCTCATCAATTGCTTCCATATCTCTTTTTCTGCCTGCAGGATTTTTGAGAAACAATTCTGCTAGCATGATCATTTTCTAGCCATGATTAAGTGATACATGTTTAGAAATAATGAAGTGGTTGTGATACTTTTTTTCTTCACTTTTTTCTTCACTTTGCTTTCTCTCACAGAAATGTCAGACTCCCAGTTCTAGACAGTAATTTAATGTTCTCCTGTGTAATTTCTCCTTGGGCTTTCTTCTATAACTTCATTTATTAGCCTGAACTCTGTAAAGACTTCCTCAGTCTTGGAAACGCACACAGGTTTTGTCAGCTCTGCAGACTTCCTTTTCTGTAACATGTCACCAGTTTGTCTGGGACAGGCGACTCTGCTTCCATGCTGTGATAAATTTCAGCTGCAACCAGAGCCAAATCAAGATAATCCTTTGGAAATTCCTTCCCAAGGCAAATACCCTCTCTAGAAAACAATTTCCCTCTTGCTGGGACAGCTAGGACGGTATCAGACACCATATAAATTACACCTGTGTGTCCTTGCCAGGGAGGGCTTTCCCAGCCCTCCTGTCAGGCCATTCATCAGGACAGAGCCATCTGGCTGCCCCTGTGATTTGGCTGTAGGTCCCAGTTTACCAGGAGTAATTGTCACTTGAATTTGAATGGGAATCTATGAAAACGGATCCCTCTAACTCTCACCTGACATTTGGTGGTGGAAAGTAGCCAGTCTTAGCTGGCTTCCTCCTTGCTTGGCTCTGATGGGATTTTCCACTTTGCAGTCTGGCTCCTTCAGCAGTCACATAACTTGGCTGCACTCAGGATTATTTTGTCTGTCTGTAAAGTTTGTGGGATACTCCTTTTGTTTTGTTGTGCCTTCCAGTTTATTACTAGGTCCTTGACTTAGAGCGTACAACACAGAAAATACAGTCTTCTTCACTGAGCCTGAAATGGGAATTGCAAGAAATACATTATTTTCTTGAAGTGCAGCATCTGGAATATCTGAAAACTGGCTTATTTTACTGCCATATGCACTGAGGAAAGCACAAGACATCCATAATTAAGAAGCTTCTCATGGACAAATGAAGCTGCCTCTATTCTAGACATGTGAAAAATAAAGCTTAGTCTAGTATTTCAAACAGAGGAAAAGCAGAATTAGTATGGAGCTGTGGTCAGAAGGCACCTTTGGCCTGTATCCAACTCTGCTGCTCAGAGCAGGGCCAGGCAGAGCAGGTTGCTCAGGACCAGGGGCAGCCAAGTTGTGAACGTGCACAAGTGTGGAGACCTGACTGTGTTCACTCACCCTGGCAGTCAGAGTGTGTTGTCCTTAAATGGAATTTCTTGTGTTTTAAAAAGTGCCTTTGCTGTCACTTGATCAAATGCAGGGTCCTGTCTCCTGATCTCCTGCTGTGATAAAAGCCACAAAAATATTTCCATCTATGCACTTTCCAACTCTTCCCACATGCCATGAAAATTCAGTAACAACTTCAGGATAAAAAAGCTTCTTGGTTTTTTTTTTGGTTTATTTTTTCATCTTCTAGGGCTATTTTAACATAAAAAATCAAGTTATACTGGGCTATGAGCCTTTGTAAGAGGTTCTGTTCCATATCCAGTGTCTAATCCTTGGCCATGGCATTCTGTCACTAAAATTTGCCTGGCTAATGCCTCTGATTCCTTAGAAATTGGAGCTCTTCCAGTAAAAAGTCTCTCTCTGGGGCTGTACTCATGATAAATAACATTTGTGTTACCTGTTCTTGTACTGTGAGCTCCTTCCCTTTCCCCTGCTGCCCATTGCTTGATCACTACAGAACAGGAAATTAGCCTCAAATGCCCCTTCATTCTTTAAAACAAAACAAAAAAAAAAAAAAAAAAGAAAAAAAAAAAAAAAAGAAAAAGGGAGGGTTGTTGTCTCGTTTGGTGCCCTAACAAAGCTTATTTTTAAAAATGTGTATGTAATTTATTGAATGCAAGGGAGAATAATATCAGTTGGATATAACTTTGGATACTAAAATTGTCTGTATCTGTAATTTAGAAGGAGTTGGAATTGCCTTAGCTGGAGGGTGGGTCTGGAGAACTGGAATTCTGTTCAAGACAGACATAAAACTATTCAATTACAAGTTTCCAGAGGGTGAAATCATCTCTCACTGGGATCTGAAAGAACATTTGATACTACCTTTTATGATTTTTATCTAGGTCTGCTTTGTTTTCTTTTTAACTCAAACGCTTTGCAAGTGACTAATGAGATTTGGCTTTTAATACAAATAAGAAAAGTGATTGTTTCATCATGAGAAGCAAAGCCCTAACAAAAACAAAAATACACCTCAGCACACAGTTTAAATACAGAACCACAAGTCTTGTTTTAAAAATATTTTTGCCAGGAAAAATGAGCTTTTCCAAGGTTCATCCTTGTCTCCTTTAAAAATGTGCATTTGACAGCCCATTCTCTGCTAAGTTTTCTGTGCATTCTGTGAAAACCAGAATGGCTTCATATAAACATTGCTTGGTCATTTTGATTCCTCTTCATAATTTGGACAACAGAAAAAAAAGTAAAAAGAGAGTTGTTGATACTTTTAAAGTTTGTGTGTGATGAGATGGTTGATGAATCCAGCCAAAGGTCTGTTTTGAATGTGTTTGAATATAATGACTTGTCTCAAAAAGTCATTGTAATAGTGAGGGGAAAAGCAGGTGTATCTTAAAAAAGTGAGTCCATCATTTTTGGTGATGGTTAGGCAAATGGAGTTTAACTATAGAATTTATTTTTAATTGGCTTTTACTCATTGTTTTCCATTCAAACACAAAAAATAAAAAATCTTCCAAAGAAATGTGGTTACAAATAGTGCAGTCACAAATACACTTGTCCTCTTCCTTCAGAAATGCTGCTCTCCCAGCCCCCATGAGGATCTTTATTGCATTTGTTGTGATTTCTTTTACCCCTGGAGCCTAGAATGCGTCTCCTCTGCTCAAAATGACATGTTTGTTTCCTAGAAAGTGAATATTTCATTCTAGAGAGACATGAAGCTTGAATTTCTTACCAAAAGAAACCTTCTGCCCTCCTCCCTGTAATTTTCTGTGGCAATTAATTAAATTGGCAGACTTGCTTTAAATAGTGCTGTGGATTTTGGTGCTTCTGGCTGCAGAATCATGAGCGGCACTTCACTGAACAAGAAGTACAGCTGTCTCTTTTTAAAATTAAACAAATTCAGCCATCGGGGTTTTTTTTCTTTTTTAACTTCCAGTTGAGTACTTTTCCTCAAAGATAAATTGACTGTATTTATTAAAATATCAGTGCTGTTTCAAACATGAGCTAGAGCATTGTAGGGCTCAGCCAAAGTTGTACCTGGAAAGTTCAAATCACTTATTCTACAAAACCATATTTTGACAGGACAGGGGGCGATGGCTTCACACTGACAGAGCAAGTTTAGGTTGGATATGAGGAAGAAAATCTTCCCTGTGAGGGTGGGGAGGCCCTGGCACAGGGTGCCCAGAGAAGCTGTGGCTGCCCCATCCCTGGAACTGTTCAAGGCTGGGTTGGACAGTGCTCTGAGCAAGCTGGGTTAGTGGCAGGTGTCCCTGCTAAGGATCTGTTTAGAATTTGTGTTCTTTCAACCCCAAGATTTCATTCTCTGCCACTTCTAGTAGTGACATTAAGAGGGATAATAAATATAGGAAATGTGTGCTTTGTAGTGATCTCATAGTGTGATCATATAAACTTGCTGGTTCAGAAATCTGGTGACAGTAAACTTACTGGGAGGGACCTGGGCTGCTATATGTGCTTTGCCACCTAATGCTGTGTGACCTCAGCCAAACTTCCCCATTGTTCCACCTATTTAGGACACAGCTCTAAAAAAAGTGTGGTACCTCAGGGTGCTGGGGAAAAAGGCAGTTGAAAGCACAAAGTGATGACTGAGATTTTTGTTCTGTGATAAACTCCTGCATACCCTTTTTTTGAGAGCAAGGATAAAAGTAATGAACTAAGGCTTCAGTCCTGGTAAAGACACGGAGAGATGGCTGTGCCTGGAGAACTCAGGAGACTTTCAATGGAACCTGTATATCTCTTTGGATTTTTCTACCTAGGACTGGACTCCTCTCACTCTTTATTTTCTATTGTATTTCATACCTGTGGTTGCAAAATATAGCATGAATTAAGAAATTTGAGCAATGCAAACTCTAACCTCTATTTTGAAGGCTGTTTTCTTCCTCTTAATCTTAGGTATTTAATGAGTTTCAGGTAGCCAGAATGGTATTTTTTTTTTAAGTTGCTATGGATGTTAACTAAAGTATCACATAATGAATGAAGTGTCAGCTTCATATTTCAAAGATACTGAGTTCAGATCATCCTGGATTGATTAAAATTGCCAGCAATTACTTTTCTGTCAGTGCTGTTAAAGATTTAGGAGTTAATGCTGCTGTCCCTTTGGTAAGCAGAGCATTTTCACCCACGTGTTCCACATATTAAGAGTTCTTAGAAGATTTTATCCACATGCAATTACTTTTTCTTTGCATTGCCTTGTTAAGGAAGACAGCCTAGGGCTGGAAGGCTGTCTCTGGGAAACCAAGTGGGTCAGAAAGCCATATCCTCGTGACTTTTCAGTGCTCTGGGCAGTCTGGATTTGGCTTGAGCCAAGTATTGGCAGGTCTGGCTTTACCTCCATGGAGACCTGTGCACTGTGATAAGTCTGGAGTGCTCATTCAGGTTCAGCTCAACACTGAGACTAGTGCAACTTCCCTTTTAGTGTGGCTGTCTTAAAACTTCTGTCTTAGGTGATGATTTTCTTTTTTACCTTTTTTTTTTTTTCCAAGACTGTCCAAAGTGCCACTTTGCAGGGCAGACTCTTGGCACAGCTGCTGTGCAGCAGAGGTGATAGGACCCCTGGGGAAAATGGGAGCTAGGGATGTGTCTGCCAGGGAACTTCCCTTGCTCTGGGTGCATCCCGGTGGTCTCAGGGAAAGAGAAGAAACTGGGAGCAAGACTGCATTGAAGGGTTTGAGAGCAAGTCTTGTGAGGAGTGGCTGAAGGAGCTGTAAAGGCTCAGCCTGGAGAAAAGGAGGCTCAGGAGGCACCTTCTAGCTCTGCACAACTCCCTGACAGGAGGGGCAGCCAGGGGAAGTCAGGCTCTGCTCTCAGGGAACAAGGGACAGGTCAAGAGGGAATGGTCTCAGGCTGTGCCAGAGGAGGTTCAGGTTGGACATCAGCAGGAATTTCTTCATGGAAAAGGTTGTTAAGCATTGGCAGGGGCTGCTTAGGGAGGTTTGGAGTCCCCATTCCTGGAGGTGTCCAGGGAATGGCTGGGGTGTGGCACTCAGTGCCCTGGGCTGGGTGGCAAGGTGGGCATTGGGCACAGCTTGGGCTCAGTGATCTTGGCAGTCTTTTCCAGACTAAATGATTCTATGACCTCTGGTGACAAAGACCTGCTCCTGCCCACCCCAAGCCCTCTTCTAGGGAAGGATGTTTAAGACTGCTCATCCCACCCCTTTTCCCAGAAATGATGTGGGACCAGGGCAATGAGTCACCTGCTTGCACTGACTCACTGCTGTAGGTCCTGGCTCTGAAGCATGGGAGACACTTAATGGAAAGATGGATCTTGCTTGGTGCTTAGCATAAACATTTGTAGCCTGATGGGAAAGATAAGGCACAGATACTTTTTTTTCATGGTGTATAATACTACCTGCATAGCAAAATAAATGTAGTGCCTGAAATGCTTTGCTTGTAGAGGATGATAGACTTTTGGGTGGGAGTAATGGGATGAATCATTTCTGTCCTGAAAAAGGCAATTGATGACTTCTCAGTTTACAGTCCTGCCAAGAGTGTTGCTACTGCTGCTTTCCTTTGGAGTTTCATTTTCACTTTTGGCAGCAGAAATGGTTGCTCTGTCTACTGTGTCAGCTGCAAATATTAAAGCATATAGAGGAGCTTGAAGTGAGTAATGTTGTCCTACTACCTTCATGGAGTATAATTTAAAAATCTGCCTCTTGAGTCTAAAAAAATGTTCATTACCATGTACTATATTTTATTAGTTTAATCACTGTCCATTGTGATGGAATCTGTGTTTAAATTAGCAATTTACATCAATCCCAAGATAAGACTACAGTGGCTGGGCACATGACATGGGCACTTGGGTCCAGAGCTTGTGTTTGGCTGTGCAGCAGAGCCAGGTCTAGGACACTGAGTGCAGTTTGCTATTTCATGTCACAAGAAGTCCAGGTTCAAACCACTCATGACAGCTCTTTGCAGGCTCTCAGAATATCAGCATTCTGGAGTCCATATATTTCCTTTTCTGATGTCTTTCTCAATTTTGAAATAAACTATTCTTTTGAAGGTGTGCCTTTATTAATAGAACCTGTGATAAATTTGTGTGCTTAGGGAGCTGTTGGTGGAAACTGAACCTATTAACCTTGACACTGCCCTTTGTGGAGATGCAGTGTGCTTTAGGGATGCAAATATGTCTCCTTCTGTTATTGCTTGTCATTTGCTGTCTGCAAAACAAAGTTTCTTGGTGATTGTTTTAAGATGGCACTATCATATGGTACATCCAAGGTCCCCATTATGGGGACCATGCAGTAACCACAGAATGGCCTGGGTCGAAAAGGACCCTAAAGATCATCCCATCCCAGCCCCCTGCCATGGGCAGGGGCACCTGCACTATCCCAGCTTGCTCAGCCCTCTCTGGCCTTGGACACTGCCAGGGATCCAGGGCAGCCACAGCTTCTCTGGGCACCCTGTGCCAGGGCCTCACCACCTTCACAGGGAAGATTTTCTTCCTAATACCCAATCTAACCCTGCTCTCTGTCAGTGTGAAGCCATTGCCCCTTGTCCTGTCACTCCAGGCCCTTGTCAAGAGTCTCTCTCCATCCTTCCTGTGGGTTCCCTTCAGGCACTGCAAGGCCACAATGAGGTCACCCCAAAGCCTTCTCCTCTCCAGGCTGAACAATCCCAGTTCCCTCAGCCTTTCCTCCCAGCAGAGCTGCTCCATCCCTCTGCTCCCCTTGGTGTCCCTGCTCTGGCCTGGCTCCAGCAGCTCCCTGTCCTTGCTGTGCTGGGATCCCAGGGCTGGATGCAGCCCTGCAGCAGGGGGTCTCAGCAGAACCACCTTTCCCCTGCTGCCCAGGAAGCAGCTGGACCTGAAACAGGTTACAGAGGCTTTTTCCAGCCCTTGAATTACTGTTTTTTGAAGAGGAAACTACAGGACACAGCACTATTTGTGGTTTTTTTTTGCCTGTCTGGATGGTTTTCTCTACCAGTCCCATCAATACAAGGCTTTGATAGAAGTATTAAAAAAAAAAAAAAAAAGTCTAATATGTTCTAGTTGCAGTTAAAGTTTAAGGGAATTCACTGCTGAACTGGTCACTGAACCTTTCCTGAAGATGCTGAAAAATTCTGAGTGGTAGTCCATATATTATTCAGGTGGAGAAACACACTGTAATTTGAGGAATGCCATATATTGCTGATACATGGCCATTACCTGAATGTGACTGTAACTTAATTTTTAAAATAATAAGGCTACATGAAAGAGTCTGGACTGAGTTCTGCCAGGTGCTTTTTGTGTCCAGAAGCTTGTGGATAAACACACAGGTCAAGAAGCAGCATGCAGGCAGTGAATTGTTCCTCATCAACAACATGGGCAAGCTGCTTTCTCCTTGTCGGTGGTGGCTGCACACCAAAACCAGCACTTTGCTACAGGGACGCCTGTGTTCTGAAATACTCTGTCATTAGTTCTGAATTAACTCGTTCACCCTTTCATTTGTGAATTAATCCCCTCTAATGCAGGCAAACATCACAGTTGTGGTTGTCTGGGTATTGTTAATCTGCGTCATGCACAGGCTGAGCACTAGACCTGGGTAATGATCTCGGAAGAGAACAGCTTTGTTTTAGAGCAGTCCTGAGCTCAAGGTGTGGTTGTTGAACTGTGCAAGTGTTACTTCCACAAAACACTTTCTTTTATGTGGTCTCCTGTTACATTTCTTTTAAGTAATGAATTTAATAGCAGAGTGAATAGAAACTGCACTCTGCTTGCTCCCCTAGTGGTACCTACTCTAGTTTGCAATTTCAGGACTTCTTTGAACCTGTTTCTGACACAACACGAGCATTAGTAGCACAACCATGATTACAAGCTGGAAACGTCTAAGATGAACAAAACAGAGCAGTGAAGTGCAGCCTTTGTCCTGGGGTATGTTTTTGCAATATTTTTCTTCTCCAGGATTTATTGTTCATATGCTATAGCAAACATTTGGTTTATTTTTCCTGTAACAACACCAATGCCTACTACAAACTACAAATCTTCATGGATCAATTAGCAATATTGTGAGTTAGCAAAAATCTCTCACTTTACACCATATACCTTTATAAACTTGATTTTGAAGAACTTTATTAGATTAAGCCTTAAATCTCTTTCTGAGAGTGTTAGCCAAGTATGTTATTATGCTGATAGGTTTGGGGCTTTTCCCCACTTTTTTTCCCCAGTCCCTACCCAGTGTCATTTATTTATATGGCATTTGTGGTAGTGGATTTCTATTCTCATACTGCCTGCCTCATTTTGCTGACTTCTATCAGCCAAATCTTTCAGCCCTCACTCCTAACTTGGAAGTGAACATGGACATTTTGGTTTCTGACTGGACCAGCCAATCCCGCCGGGATGAGCCATGAGCCAAAGCTGCCTGTTCTCCAGCTGCCTCTGCAGACAGTTTTTGTTCTTGTTCTTTGCTTTGGGAGCTAATTGTGAGAAAGTGAGAGCAGAAGAACATTTCCAATGCAGTAGTTGTAGCTCAGAAGGCTCTCTAGAAGGCAGTGTCCCATTTTAGAGGGGTGCATAGTGTGTTAATCACCACAGTGCAGCTTGTTTCCTACAAATCTGAAGTGAGGAGTCCATGTGAGTGTTGTGACTGGAGGTCAAGGGCCAGATCTCCAGCCCAAGATTAGGATATTTTTGTCCTTTTGAGAAAAGTGTAATGATTGGGCAGGTAGTATAAGGTAAGAGAACACATCAAATGCATTACCACTGATAACTACATTTCTTCCAACTCCTCCCTTCTGTAGGTGTATATATGACAGGCTTTTATGTGCTGAAATAAATCATTTGAATGATTATGTCTCATGAAAATGAATGTAGGTAATGCATTAAAGTAGCTAATGATGTTTTTAAGGTTAATAGCAATTGTGGAGCTGTTCAGAAATTCATAAGCATCAAACACTTTAAAAGCAGTTGATCTTTCCCAACTTTTTGTAAATAATGTTGTGGCTTTTAAGTGAGGATACCTTGACAGGGGAAACTCTTCTGGAGAGGCAGAATGCTGTATTTCAGAGTAGTGAGAGTGCTTAGAAAAATATCCCATAAGTGGTGTTGGAGGAGGAAGACTGCTGAGCTGAATTTAGGGGTGTTTAATAAGAACACAAATGAAGCATTGAACGTAAGTTGTATTGTCAACAGAGCAATTAGAAAAACTCTGAGGACTTACCAAAGGACTTAAGTTTCCTCCTGAAGGCTGGGTTTCCCCGGTGGGGATGTGGGAGCCTCCTGAAGGCTGGGTTGCCCCGGTGGGGATGTGGGAGCCTCCTGAAGGCTGGGTTGCCCTCGTGGGGATGTGGGAGCCTCCTGAAGGCTGGGTTGCCCTCGTGGGGATGTGGGAGCCTCCTGAAGGCTGGGTTGCCCTGGTGGGGATGTGGGAGCCTCCTGAAGGCTGGGTTGCCCTGGTGGGGATGTGGGAGCCTCCTGAAGGCTGGGTTGCCCTCGTTGGGATGTGGGAGCCTCCTGAAGGCTGGGTTGCCCTCGTGGGGATGTGGGAGCCTCCTGAAGGCTGGGTTGCCCCGGTGGGGATGTGGGAGCCGCTGTTGCAGATGATGACATTGTGCAGGGAGCCCGATGACTTGTTTGCAGTTTAGGCAGCCCACGCTGCTCTTGTCCCTCAGCTCTCCTCAGTGTAGGTTTGTCACATCAGCAGCACTGCCAGGCTCTGGCCTAGGCTGGATCAGTGTCTGAACGAACCGGAGGGCACGAACAGGGGAGCTGAGGCTCTGTCAGTCATTAACAGCTGCCTCTGATTGATGAAAAGTCTAACAGCAAACACACTGCCTTCACGTTTGATATTTCCATGTGGCTGCATGAAAGATCTGGGACTCCTGTTCTTGTTTTCTTGCTCTAGAGGTTTGCATTGTGTGTATTTACTTGGTGGTTACCAACACGGCCGGGTCGCTTGCTTTTCCTTCCCTGTGAGGGTGGTGATGTCCTGGCACAGGGTGCCCGGAGCAGCTGTGGCTGCCCCATCCCTGGCAGTGCCCAAGGCCAGGCTGGATGTGGCTCTGAGCAAGCTGGGCTAGGCAAGGTGTCCCTGCCCATGGCAGGGGGATGGAACTGGCTGATCTTTAGGTCCATTCCAACCCAAACCATTGTGCGATTCCCTGAGTCTCAGTCCGTCCCATCCTGCCGGCAGCCCCGGCGTTGCGCAGTTCCGCGGTTCTCGCGGTGTCAATCCCTGTTCACTGCCGGGCGGGGAGGGTTTAGAGGCGAACTCGGTGATGTGCGGGCACAGGGGGCAGGTGAAACAGCCTGTGGGGCACGGGAGGGTCGTGTCCCGGTGCTGTCCCGGTGCCATCCCCTCACCCCGGGGCTGTCCCGGTGCCATCCCCTCGCCCCGGGGCCGTCCCGCTGCCGTCCCTCACGGCGGGCCGGTGGCGCCGCCCCGCGGCCGCGCTGACGCTGTGCTCCCTTGCAGGGCGCACCGGGCGCTACACGCTGATCGAGAAGTGGCGGGACACGGAGCGGCACCTGGCGCCGCACGAGAACCCCATCGTGTCCCTCAACAAGTGGGGACAGTACGCCAGCGACGTGCAGCTGATCCTGCGGCGCACCGGGCCCTCCCTCAGCGAGCGGCCCACGTCGGACAGCGTGGCGCGCATCCCCGAGAGGACTCTGTACCGGCAGAGCTTGCCGCCCCTGGCCAAGCTCAGGCAGCCCGGGGACAAGGCCATGAAGAGGAGGGAGCCGAAAAGGAAATCCCTCACCTTCACCGGCGGCGCCAAGGGGCTAATGGACATCTTCGGGAAGAGCAAGGAATCCGAGTTCAAGCAAAAGGTGCTCAACAACTGTAAAACAACAGCGGACGAGTTGAAGAAACTGATCCACCTCCAGACGGAGAAGCTTCAGTGCATCGAGAAGCAGCTGGAGTCCAACGAAGCTGAGATCCGCTACTGGGAGCAAAAGTACAACGCCAGCCTGGAAGAAGAAATCCTCAAACTGGAGCAGAAGATCAAACGCAACGAAGTGGAGATTGAGGAGGAAGAGTTCTGGGAAAACGAGCTGCAGATCGAACAGGAGAATGAAAAGCAGCTGATGGAGCAGTTGCAGGAGATGAGGCAGAGGATCCTGGAGTGTGAGAGCAAGCTCAAGGACTATGTGTCTCAGATCCACAACATGGAGAGTGGCCTTGAAGCAGAGAAGCTGCAGCGGGAGGTTCAGGAGTCCCAAGTGAATGAAGAAGAGGTCAAGGAAAAGATCGAGAAGGTGAAGGGAGAAATTGATATTCAGGGCCAGCAGAGTCTGAGATTGGAAAATGGCATTAAAGCGGTAGAAAGGTCTTTGGGCCAAGCTACCAAGCGATTACAGGTAAGATTGTCATTTTATCCATAGCTAGAGAAAGTCAAAGACTCTGATTAATTTCTCTTACACAAATCTGAAGCCTATAAAAGACAGCACAAGAAAGTTTCCAGAGTGAATCATGATAAAAGGCAGACTATGTTGCTTTCACTTTCAAATCACACTTCAGCTTGTGAGGTTTTTTTTGGGAGAGCAGATAGTTTTTATTTCACCTATGCTTAACTTGCTCATTCAAACTATCTGAGAAGAAAAGCACCACTGTAGCATTTTCTGAGGATAAACTTCTGATCTTTGCTAGGTTTTCTGCCACCAAAAGAGATGAATTACAAAGAACAGTCCAAAAGCAGCGCCTGGAAAGGTACAGAGCTAAAGTACCTGCAACCTTACAGGGCTTTGGTTTTAAGGAACAGCATCCCTCTTTTCCTGGCTGACTGGCTGTTCAAGATTTTATTTTCTCTACACCTCGGGCATTTGTGGCACATGTGTAAAAAGAGAATCCAGACCCCGTTTCCTTGCTAAAGTTAATGATATCACCTGGAACTTGATAGAGCATGAAAGAATAAAGGAACTCCAGCTGCTAGCTGGATGAAAGTGGAGGAAAGATTGGAGCTCCTGGGATTTTTATGTGCCACGTAAGGTAGTCCTAAGGCACCATACATCAGTTGGAGTTGTGGTCCTTGCTGATTCCCAGGATTCACAGTTAGTATATTCTGCAGCTCTGCAGTGGCTTTAAGGTGATTCCACTGTGAATATGTAAAGGGATTTTTTTAATCCTTACTTCTGCCTTAGAACCATGTCAGTATGAGCTGGTTTTACTAGATAATGGGGGGGGGGGGGGGGAGGAGGGGGAGAGGGGGGAAGTAATCTTTTCATCCAAAGCAAAATGGATGAAAACTGTAAGCAGTTTTGGCCATGATTATCTATGCTAAGTTTCCAGACATGCTGCACTTAAGGATTTGCACTGATGGAAAGCTTCAAGTCCTCTTTATGTGTTTTATCTACTGAGGCCATGATGGAGTTAAAAATATTTCTGGCTTGGTTCTTTTCATAGTCTGTTTTCTTTGGAAAGTTCCCATTCAATTCAGATCTTCCAGTCTTGTTCTAAACCTAAAGGTGCACAAATCTGGAAGTCCACAAGAAAATAAACTGAGCTCTGCGCTATGGAGCTTTAGTAGGGAGGAAATAGACAAATATTTTATTGCATACCTGAAGTTCAAGATTAAAGCAGCTCAACCTCTGTGTGTGGGAATAATAATAGCCCAAGACTGTTGTAATCTATCAGAGCTGTAAGTTTTGCATATCGTGACAGAAGTACAGAAAAAGATCCTAAATGATCATCTGTGCTTTGGGATGGGGAGCCAGCCAGGCTTTGGCTTCATTGCACAAAACCCTTGCAGAGTGAGAAGGTTCTGGCCAAAAAAAGTTTAAATAGAAAATGTAAAGAACAAGAAGAGAAAAGAATTTTACTCCATTTAAGATCAGAAGAATTAAATGAGCTGTCCAAGCCATGCTGGACACTTCAGGAAGACATAAGACTTGGTGCCAGACTGCTGCTCAGTTGATTATTTTTTCAGCATTCACACTATTACCTTTATTTGCTGACATGCCAAGGTTTTTCTCAGGTGGTATGAGAAACAGCTGCTAGTCATCCAAGAAGCAATATAAAAATAAAATACATTAAGAAAAACCCAATTAGGGTCATGGGTTGGACTTAAGGATGTCAGAGGTCTTTTCCAACCTAATTGATTTTGTGATTCTGTAAGTGCTAGCGAGTGTTGACTGGCATTTTAAATTCCAAGATTAAAATACCTTTCAACTTATCAATTTGCAGTTGAGCTTTAAAAATTGGAGGCTTTCTCATTAAAAGGAAAAGTATTAGTTGCCCAACTGTAAATGTGGTCATGAAATGCTGCTTTATTTGCTCAGCAGATGTTTTCTGTTCCCTGGCAGGACAGGGAACAAGAACTGGAGCAACTGACCAAGGAGCTGCGCCAGGTGAACCTGCAGCAGTTCATCCAGCAAACTGGAACCAAGGTGACGGTGCTGCCGGCAGACCCCGTGGAGGTGGAGGCCCCACACACGGAGCTCGAGAGAGGTGCAGCCCTGGCAATGCTTTGGGAGGGAGGGAAGGAGGGAGAAGGGGCTGGAGGGAAGGAGGGAGAAGGGGCTGGCCGTGCCTTTGCTGCCACATTTACTTTAATGCTGGCACTCCTACGTGAAGTGAATGCTCCCTTAGTGTAGACTTTAGCAAAGCACTACGAGAGTGCATTGTCGAGTACTTCTTTTCATTCCAAGGGTTTAGCAGGCTCTAAATAAAGAGCAGTATGGGGAGAACTTCTATCCCACTGTGCCCGGGCATGCGTTTGTCCCATCAGCAACGAATTAAGCCTGCAGCTTTCAAGAGGGGCCGCCATGGCTGGCTGCCAGCACAGAACGTGGTCGTACATCTGACATTGCTGTTCGTCTGGGTTCTTCCTCTTCTGGTGGGGGTGTTGTCAAAGCAGAAGAAGGAATGTGTCTGGATCCCAAGAAACCCCAGACAGCAGGCGCACAGGAATGGGAGCCGATCCAGCTGGGCTGCCAGCCATGCAGAAGTCCTGCACAGATGGCTGTCACGGCGGGTGACGACTGACTTCGCCCCCGGCGAGATCAGCGCAGCCTGCACGTGCCCAAATCTGCCCGAATCTGGATTCCAAATTTCCTGGGCAGAACCACAGGAGCATTTTGAATGCATGTCAGAGCTGCAGCACCGGCACAGTCGTGTGCTTTTTCTGGCACTCTGCTTCCAAGGGGCTCTTTGTCTCAGCATTCTCCTGTGCTGGGTCTGTCCCTCTGCTCAGAAAACTTTATAACCAAAAGGCACTGTGGGGGCCAATGGGTTGGGGAGAGAAGAAAAGACAACCAGGCCTTCAAATGCAGCTCTTGTAGGAACTCTTAAGTGGGAAGGAAGCTGAGGTTTTGAATCATGTTACAGTTCAAACTCTCTGCAAGTCACCATATAAGAGAGTGTGTGTGTGTATCTGTGTACATGTTTCTCGTGGGAGGGTAATTCTTTTGTGTGGTTTCATTCTGTTATGAAGTGAGTAGGAAGTATGCACCTTAGATCTCCTCACCTCCTAGCCAGGCACTTCAGTAATTTGTTACACGTGGAATTAGTTTTTCTGTGTTGCATTAAGCAGGAGGAGGAGGAGGAAAGGTGCACCTCAGCTGATGACTTTTCTAATTGCCCTTTTTCTCATGCAGAGCCAGCCTTTCAATCTGGGTCACTGAAGCGCCCTGGCTCATCGAGGCAACTCCCCAGTAACCTTCGGATCCTACAGAACCCCCTGTCATCTGGTTTTAACCCAGAGGGCATTTATGTATGACAGTATGTACCTCTTCTAGAGAGGACCTAGCAAGGTACCCTGGACAAGATACACTTTATTTTATTCAGCCAATGATGAATGGAAGAAGTTTGTCTTGTTTTGTTTTTTTTTGTTACACCACCGTGTTATTTTTTCTTCTTCCTCCAACACCACTTGGAGCCATACCCTGTGCACTGATGCTAAAGAGACAGGAACTGTCTCGATTCATAATTGGCAAGGATGACCTTACTGTCAACACAGCTTGAGTGCAAAAACCTTCATTGTTTTTGCCACTTCAGAAGTGTTTGGGAAAGTATTGTTCCTTGTATAGTCATAAATGGAAGACTTAGGGTGAAGGAAAATGTGTATGCAACTTATCTGAGGTTTAATTTATTCCCTTTAATCAATGGACTGGTGAATGTTGACCTTTTATATTTTTATTTTTAACTTGTGAATTATCACGTATGGCTGTGTGTCAGTCTGCTGAGGTGACTTTAATTTGTGTATACCAACATCCCCCATCTGATCAAGTACAGCAACCTGCAATGCAGAGTTCTGAGGGGTGCTGAACCATTGCAGTGGTTTCTCACCACTAACTTTATTCCTTTCTTTCATGGGTCATCATATGTCATGTTCCATCCATTGCTACCTTTTAAGGCTTGGAAAGTGAGCTTGTGGGATTTACTTGCTGTTGTATCTGCCTTGAATGAAGCACCTAGTGTCAAAAGATTTATGGATTTTAAACCTTGGCTTGGTAAAAATATTTCCAGTATATGATTGAGGATGCACTAGTTAGATGATATTTTATTATATAGAATGTATATTTGAAATATTTTGCCACATTGTATATGCCTTTTGAGAAAAGAACAATGTAAGAAGTTGTCTTCATATATCTTAAGAAAAGAGAGTAGGAGGCTTTCACTGTGTGTGATTTTGTACTTCATTTTTTCCACTAGCCATTACAGTGTTCTTGTTTTGTTACAAATCTTGCTGTTGGAGGGGAAGAAAGACACAACACAAATGAGTATCCACTTCCAGCCTTCCAGAATCCACTCAAGTTTTCTGAAGGGAATAAACCTGGCAGAGTCCCAAGAAGTCAATAGCAGAGCTCTTATTGACAGGAGTGAGGCCAGGATTTCATTCAGCTCCCTGGTGGAGACATGTGGTCCCTTTGAAAGACAGTCACTTAGAGAATCTAAAGCTTCCAAGCAGAAAATTCCCACATTTGGTGGTCATTTTTCACAAAGCATATGAAAAGAGAACATTATCACATTTGATGTTGCTCTAATGCAGTCAAAGCTATGAAAGAATTAGACAAAAAGGGTTTCCTGCAGAAAGTAGCTGCTCCCAAATAGCTCTTTGCTTGCAGGCCTTGAAGTGAGATTGCTGCAGGGGACACCAGGTTTGTGCAAAAGGGACTGGCATCAGGGGGACACACTGTAAACGCTGGGGGCTGGCCTCATGGATGAGTTAGGGAAGGGATGGGCCTTCCCTGGTGTGGATTTCCAGTTCTAACAGCAACTCCCAGGATCATCCCCACCTTGGAGCTCCCCTGGGCACAAGGGGGGGCACTCTGCCCTCACTGCAGTGCTGAAGACTTGGGCTCCTGATGCCCTCCTTGGCAGAGTCCGGATTTTACCACTGCTAGGAAACTCCAACCTTTTAGCCATAGAAAAATACTTAACTCCTAGCATCCTCTTGTGTTGATTCACTGATGTGCAGATAAATGTTAATTTAAGTCTCATTTTCTAAAAAAGGAGCTTCCTGACAAATGGAAGTTTTAAAAGATATAGCAGAAGATGAAGGATTCTTGAGTGTTTAATGCATTTTTTTTCCTTTCCACTTACTAATGGCATCATATATTCTAAAAATGCTGCTGTATTTAGACTTACAGCAACAGATAAGGCTGTGAATATATAAAGGACCTTTCCAAACAGACTCTGAATTTTTACTGTTTGACTTATCAGGTTTGGGTGGTTTCTTTTGGGTTTTTTTTTTGTTTGTTTGATTGTTTGTTTTTGTTTTGGGTTTTTTTTGGGTTTTTTGGTTTTGGGTTTTTGTTTGTTGTTTTTTTTGGGTTTTTTTTGGGGGGGGGTTGTTTTGTTTGTTTTGTTTGTTTTTTTTTTTTTTTTTTCATCTTCCCTTGTGAGCAAACTGGAAAATGAGATATTCCTACCTGAGGAACCTTTGCAGTGCTCACCCATTTTACTGTTAGTTTATCACAAGTCTGTGCTCATGTTTACTGTGCCCATAACTTTGTATTAAAACAAAAAAAAAAAGAATGTGTGTGTATATATATATATATATATATACACATATATATATATATATAAAAGTGTAAACTATACATAGTTTGGGGACAATATCTGTCCAAGGTACTTGAGCATATATGCCTTACATTCTGGGTTCAATTTACAGAAATGAAATGGCCCTCTCCAGTGGATATCTTGCATCTTCAGCACCTCTTGATGTTAGAGAACTGAGGCACTCAGCACCTTGCAAAGTCTGGCCCAAATTATGCTGCATGGGGGTGAGGGGAAAGAGTCTTGTCCTGAGATGAAGTATTTTTAAGGCAGATCAGCATATTTACCCCAGCTAATGATTTTGTCATATTCTGTGACTGGTCCATCTTCCACAGATGTCAGTTTGAGCTGAATTGGGCTCTTGCATCATAAAACCTGCTCTCTTTCTCTGCCAGGTTATTCTGTAAGACAGAGGGAGGAGGAAAAGTATTAAAAGGAAGAGTAAGAGCAGCTTTGGAGGGCTTAAATGACAGCTTTGTCATAGAATCAAGGGAGGGATTTGCTGTTGGAGCAAAAAAAAGTAGCACCTGCTCACTGCAGCAGCTGTTGGACACAGGGGCCAGCCTGGAGCTGGCTCAGGAGTGACCACTTCAGCATCCCTGAGTGGCTCCTCCTTGCCAGGGCTTTGGCACATGTCAGGGTGATCTGAAAAAAAAGTTTGCAGCTTCAGCCACTCCTGTGACCAAGGAGAGGCTTTGGTATCCAGACCTGCCAGTTGTGAGACACTGACAAATTCCCATGCCCCCACCATACTCCTCTTACTTATTGAATTTCACCCAGGCTGAAGTTCCATAGCATCTTCACTGTCTCTGTAAATAAACCAAAAAGAAATGGCATGGCCTTGCATTAAATGTGAATTGACCCATGTGTAACAGTTAGAAAAATTCCTCACACTATGACGTTTAGAGTTTTGCTTCTGATCAACTGCAGAAACTCACTCTTTCTTTACAACTGTACAAAAAGTCCATTTTCAGAAGTGTTCCAAACCTCCTAGGGCATTAGCAGAAAGGAAGCTACACATACTAATTTTAACAAGTGCCATATTATTTACTGGGCAGCATGATAAAAATGGGGTTTTTTGCTTGCGTTAAATAGTTGAATACACAAGCACTATTTTCCAGTGCACAGGGAATTTATATGGAGAACTCCTGTAATTTATTACTAATGGAAATTAACTGTGTTATCTCTCTCATCCATGAGGATGGAGATGCTATGTTGTTAGGGGAAAAGAGGGGGGTGACCATCTGAAAAGCCAGTAGGTTAAGGCTATGGTGAACAGTCTGAACGCCTGAGCAAGGGAGAAACCAAGTCCCACTCTGAAAAGTCAGCTCCCAGTATCTTTCAGTGGGACTTAGGTTCCCAAGTGCCTGAATTGCTTCTGGAAATGGTATGTTATCTTTGAGATTGCTTGCTTTTCTAAACCCTGGCAAGTTTGGAGGAAGTTCTTGAAGAAGAGAACTACCACCACTAGCATTAGCAATATGCAAACATAATGAAGTAAGAGGGAAAAAGATCCTTTAGTGAAAAAAACATCTCCTCTTGGGGCAGCAATTGCCTTGTTTTTAGCGTGAACAGTATTGCATTATTTCAGTGAACTGGGATCATATGAGTATGATCAAAGAAACATCGATCTTATAATTTCTAGTGAGTTACCTTGAAGCATATAAATTCCTGATGTGCATTAACTTGAGTGAATTGGGCCTTAATGATACATGTAAATAACAAAATTGTATTCAGATATATTTTCCAGAAAATAGTCTCTAATGGTCTGTACTGTATAAAAAAAAAAAAAAGTGTCAAAATGTTACTTTTATATTACACCTCTTTTTTTTGTTTTTTGTTTGTTTGTTTGATTGTTTTGGTTGGTTGTGGGTTTTTTTAGAACATTGAAATGTGCATGTTTATTCTATTTGCTACAGTATTTTAATGTTTTGGATGAAGGCCATCAGTTGTATGGAGATGACAAAACAATCATTCTGTCTATTTATTCAGTATTGCTGCTTAAAGTTTTCAAAATAAAGCTTTCAATGCCAATATAGTGACTGATTGAAAGCTGTTCTAGCTCTCTTCAGGTGTTTTTTTTCTATGTTTGTAGAAAACGAAATAAGCGAAACCTGGTGTATGAGCTGTTATACCAGCAAAGAATTATTGCAATAATACTGGGGGCTGGGTGTGTGTGTAGTAAATACCAATGTATGCATGCAGTGAATGCCTTTAGGTCTCTAAGTGGAGTGCTGAAGAATGTTAAATCCTTTGTGGTCTTGCAAGCACTTTACACATGTGACCAAGTACTGGTTAGAGCTTTGTGCCCATGTGTGGTACGTGTGAGGGCACAACAAGGGGGTCACAAAGGATCAGCTTGGAGCTCTTTGAACCAGACTGGATTTAAGGACATTCTTGAGTGTTCCAGAGATGTGTGTCTGACTGGGGCCTAAAAAAGGTGTTCTGATACAAAACCCTTTCAGTTGCAGCAAGGATGCCTCAAGTGTAGCTGGTACCTCTGAAAATTTTAGCAGTTCTGAAATGGATCAAATGTGCCTGCTGTACTTGTGAAGTGGTCAGAATGCTGAGAGTGTTCACCCTCACCATCATCCTGTGAAACTGCTAACTAGGGGGTTCTGACTGGAACACTTGAGTTGCTGATGCTTTAACCTAGAGAAGCAAAACGAACTGTGAAAACACGAGTGAGCATTTTATTACTGCTCTGCTTCAATGCAAGATGAAAATCTGTATTATATGTAACTATATTTTTTGTCATTTAAAAAGCTATTTTTTATTATTCTCATGAATGATTGACAAAAAGTATTGGATATGCTCCCATACAATAAATTGCCCTCTGAAACTTTGGGTCTTTACAGTTCATGGTTTGCTGGGATTGCACCGTTCATGTCACGCATGTCTCACTACAGAGCTGCTCTCAGAGAACACCGGGCCCGAAGGCACGGCCAAGGCTCCTTTACTGTAAGTGTCATCTCAATCAGATAAAGCCCAGGCACTGCAAGAGGGAAGAGGAGCTTGTTTTCAGCTGATGAACTGTTACTAAAATTAACAGTAACCCTGAAATGACGGAACTGGTCAGTGACTAGGGAGAAGTGTAACTTAAAGCAAAGAGGCAGAGGTTCACTTGGAGGTGAATTGAATGTACTGATTCTTCCCACAACAAATGCAGGGTCCCCTGATGCTTTAGCAAGCAAGAAGAAATTAATCTTTGAACAAGGAGTAGAAGGCCTTTTAGGTCAGATTCAGGTGTTCAGATTACTGTGCTGAGACCAGAGAGGGTGTGAAGCTTGCATGAGATCATTTGAGCTGATCAAGGCTGGGAAGTTGATACAGCTGGAGCCTTGTGATTTAAGCCATCCAAATGCAGTCCTTAGTTTAATATCCCAACAAATGGATTTTCCTAAGCTAACTGGAGCCTAATCCCATTAGATGTGAGGAGAAGTGAGCTAACAGTAGTGGCACTGTTGACTGGCAATAGGACAATGCCATGAACTCCACTGAAGCCCTAGCACGTGGCACTGTTGTTGTCAGGGCTGTGGAAGTTGTGGAGGCCCTGTGCTCTGAAAGGTGCCCTTTCCTGCCCCTGTGCCAGTCAGCTGGCTGGCTTTTGTGGTAACTAAGGTTTCTCAGCGTGCCCAGCGGAGCCAGGGCTACAGCTGATGTTTCTGATCTTTTGCTTTGCCTTTAAAGAACAAAGTGGTGTATTTGTATGTGGCTGCTGCAGCACTAACTAGCTCAGTTGTAACTGGACCACTAATGAGTTGCAAAACCAGACCAGATCAATGATCCATTTTGTTCACAAGCCATACTGAAATCTTCTGCGTGTCATGTCTGTGTCAGCTAGGTATTATTCCTTTATAGCCCAAATTTTTAATGATTGTTTAAACGAAGATGTCTGCTGTCTGAAGTAGGGCACAATGAGCAATGGTGCCCATTACTGCCTTACTTGAAAATGATATATTTGCTACCTTTGATATTGTAGCTAGTGTTAATGAGTATTTTCTAGGTCAGCCACTGCTTCATCATTAACTTTCCCCAGAAATATTGGATGGAGACAATCTCAGTTGGTCTATTTTGCTCCCTTTTTCCAGGGAATGGAAATATTCGGTATGTTGTGTACTTTTTTTCCCCATCCTTTGCAATGAGTTCTGTGTACTGTCCAGGGCTGACTGGAAAGGAGCCTCTTTTGGCATTTGCTAGTGCAACAAGGAACTGATGCAATTAGACCTGATAAACTTCCCTGAGCAACCTCACCTCTTGTCTGAGAAACTCAGGTTCTGCCGGTGTCCTCATGCCACATCTGGTGCCTCTGTGTGTGCCTCCTTCCTTGCTGCCACACAGGCAGCCCTGGAGCTTCCCCCCCGTGCAATTTGAAGTTTGATTTCTAGAATCTTTTTGGAGCTGAATCCATGGCTGTGGAAAGGCTACAGGGATCTCTGGAAGAGTGAGAAAGTGTAATCACACTTCTGTTCAGACATCTGGAAGCTGATGGAGGTGAAATATCACTACACCAGACTGTGCTTACTGTTTCAGCTATGTGCTTTGTCTTGTTCTACCTCTTGGCAAAAAGAAGAAGATAGTTGGTAATTGGAAAACTTAGTAGGAAAATGCAGCATAAAAGATCTAATATTCAATCCTGGGTCAAGTTAGAGGGAAGAAAAGTTTTCTGTGATTTATTTTTAATGAGCAAAAGTTTGAAGAAAAAGTATTCAGAACTCCAGCTGGGCTTGTGGAAAGTGTGCTTAAAAAAACCCACCTAATCCAATGCAATACAAATGAGTACAAATAATTACCTGCCTAGGTATTTTTAAAAGGAGAGCTTCTGGTTAAAACAGAAATGAAAAGCAACAACAACAACAAAAAAAAAAGGGAGGTTGATGGAAGGAAGGGACCGAGATGTAGACCAAGTAAAACACCTTTAACCTGATTTGTATTTACCCTGAAGTCTCTTCCAGTGCCAGTGTGATGGAAAGTGAATCATGCAGCTTTAGAGCCAGTGACATGGTATCACAGAAGTACCATCAGGAGCTATTGCTAAAATGAAATTTAGGCCAGCCTTTAAGTCTGAAATAACTGGAATTTCTTTGTGGTTGCCTGTGGAGCTTCTCCTAAATTACTACCTGCCACAACTTTTATTGTGTGTATCAAACTGCTGTTCTTGAAATGTTATGTGCCCAGAACAGATGATTTGGCTTTAGCAGTCCCAATCAGCCTGAGGTGAACTTTGATTGATGAGGTGGAACTGGCCCTCCTGGCACACAGAAGGGAAACCCCAGAATGCCAGCTGACCTTTGACAGCATTTTGTTGCTACAACGTTGTCTTAAGCATTTCCTTGACCTGGCAGATCTGCAGCGTGGCTGCCAAGACTATGACCTGGATTCTGCACTGTCATGTTGCTTGTGTCACGCACAAAACAAGCGTGGAGGAGACGGTGACAGAGCAAATGAGAAAGGCCACAATGTCCATCAGCTGTAGGGCTGGGGTGAAAGGTTATGCCCGGGGCCAGCACCAGATAATCGGGTCTCCTGGACTGTGCCAAAGCTGCAGTTCCCAGCAGGCCCACACGAGAGGGCAGCAGTACATGCAGCAGCCACGCACTGCGATGGGAAGCAGGTTTTCTAGGAATACACAACACGTAGTAGGGAATTGCATAAGGCACCCAGCATTCCAACTTTAAAGGTGTTCTTTCAGAAAGGACTAAAATTCCCAAAGAAAAACTATTTTCTTATGTTACTATGACTATAACAATGATCCCAATTATACAATACTTAATTCACAGTGTCAGTGTAACTGATGCACAAATGATGCCATTCCTGCAGTTTCTGAGCAAGCCTGGAAGCTTTCTGAAACTGTACAGGTGTGGGTTGAAACATTCCATTTTAGATACTGTCCTGTGACTGGTGTATTTGCCTGTGCCTGGGATGCTCTTGTTTCATTTCCCAGCTCTGCCATAGATTTCCTGTGTGTGACCTTGGGCAAGCTACTATAATCCCTGTGGATTGGAGTCCCCCAGCTGTAAGCCCGAGATAATACTGCCTCATCCCCTTTGACTTTGTCTATATATTACACCAGGCCCCGTGGGAAGCAGTGTTTCAATTCCTATTTGTTTGGCAAATAGTAGTGAGCACAACGTGGTCCTGAACTTCATTGTGCCATCCAGATACTGCAGCATTTTTATATCCTACTGAGAGGGTAACAAGAAGTCACTCAGAGTTAGCTTTACCTTGCAGTGAGAGCAAGATGCAGGTGTGCTGAGGGAAGCTGGGGGTTTCTGAAGGTGAATTCTTGTTCAGCTTTAAGTAGATTTCTTCTTCTAAAGGGGTAAAAAGGAAAAGCAAGTAAAGGAATAAAAGCTCATTTCAACTTTTACTCAACACTCTTCTTTTTGGGTCCTTTCTATTCCAGGCCATTCTGTCATCCTGCTCTATGAAGTGACTGTACACACTAGGGAAAGTGCTAGGTTAGCCCTAAACTACCACCGTGCTGACCCAGCTCAAGCAGCTTTGTTCCTAAAGGTCATGCAGTACCTTCCCACTGGCTCTGCCAGGCAGCTGAATTGCCCTCTACTCCTTGGAATGCACTGCCCTAGGGTTACTAAACTCAAGCAAGCCTGTGACATTCCTGTGCATTTTTAAAAGCAGGTATTGCAGACTCTGCATGTTCAGCAATCATAGCAAACAGCTGGAGTCCTGGAAATGCCTTCTGGGCCTGGCAGGACACTGATGGGAGCGTGCTTCCCACGGCTGGCTCCTGGGGTATGGCACACAGATTGCTCTCAAAGGTCACCTTAAATAACTGTACTTACCTTGTCATTTACAACACCAGAATTAGCCCCGTGACCAGTTGGGCATTTTTCAAAGCTACTTCACATTTTGCAGACCTGGATGTATCTTTATGTTCTTGTTTCCGTACTCTGCAGAGCAAACTGCACTCCAAACACAACCTCTCTGCTGTGCCAAGGAGCTCGTGCAGCCCAGGTTCACACAAACACATTTTCCTTTGCAGATGGACTAGGAGTGCCAAGGAGCATTATCTGGTGATGGCAGCTTGATAAGCAAAGGTAGCTCCTTCTCTCTCAGGGAACAGATGTTGAAGGGAACACAGCCTTAACTCAGACCCTTGTCCACATATATTCCCATACCTTCAATTACCTTTGTAGCAGCTATTAAGGAATTCTTGTTTATTCTACACACTTTTCTAATGTTTAAGCATTTTTTTTTCTAGTCATGTTGGTCCATTTGTCTCTACACATTTCATTTCTGACTTTACTCTGGAAAATGAAGTCCTGATGGCAGTGCATTCTGCATGACAGACCCTTTGTCCAAACCAGAGCATCTGAAAGAGTCTGTGACACTGGAGTAAACAAACCCACCTCACCCTCGTGATTTCAATTCTCTAACTCCCAGCAGCTTCTCCCTGGAACAACAGAGGGCACCACTCGTCACACAAAATGCTGGAAGAGGAGCAGCCCTGCCTTTGAGTCATAGTTCAGGACCTAGAGTATTTATCTTTCAGTAGGTGACTGGGATTGAATATTCCTTCTCCCATGAGAAGGAATTCCTTCTCCCATTCCTTCACCTCTGCATCTTCTGCTCCCTGTGCCAAAAGCTGCTCTCAGAGACGTGCACTGTTCCTCTGGTGGATCTTGCCCTACATTGCACAGAATGATGGTGTGCAGTTACTTACTGTGAAATAGCTTTAGCCTGTTTGATTAGAATCTGCACTTGAGGAAGAGGAAACACCATGCCAGCTCCTGCCCCTGCTCCCATGAAGATCTGTTTTTTTCCAATGAGTTTACAACATAAAATGCATAAACACGCAGCATATCAGGGCTGGAGCCTCAGTTTCTCCTCTCAGGTGGCTGTGTTATCTTTTGATCTTGCTGTTCTGTCCAGCAGCTGCCACCACCAACTCTTCTGAAACAAAGAGACCTACAAGAGGCTACAGGAAAGATGGAGAGAGATTATTTACAGGGCCTGGAGTGACAGGAAAAGGGGGACAGGACAATGGCTTCACACTGACAGAGAGGAGGTCTAGACTGTATATTGGGTAGAAATTCTTCACTGTGAGGGTGGTGAGGCCCTGGCATAGGTTGCCCAGAGAAGCTGTGGCTGCCCCTGGATCTCTGGAAGTGTCCAAGGCCAGGCTGGATGGGGCTCTGAGCAAGCTGGGACAGGGGAAGGTGTCCCTGCCCATGGCAAGGAAGTGGAACTGGATGGTGTATTAAGTCCCTTCCAACCCAGGCCATTCTATGATTCCATATCACAGTAACAATATTGTTATTTCAGAAGAATCTAAATTTTAAAACAGCCTCTGATAAGGTATTCCCTGATTTATTAACCCTCCAGCTGATGCCCTCAAGGGCTGTAATTATTAATTTCTGTACAGAGTTGGCCCATATGTGCATAATGTTGCATTCTGGTTGCTCAATGTGCATCGAGCAAAATTCCTGAATGCCGGGACTCTGAACCCCTTGCAGCCCTTTCTGAGAGGACAGGGGAGGTTTAGGTTGCACATTACAGAATCACAGAATGAGCTGAGTTGGAAGGGACCCACAGGATCATCAAGTCCAACTCCTGTCCCTACACACACACTCCCCAAGAGTCACATCATGTGCCCAAGAGTTGTCCAAAAGCTCCTGGAGCTGTCAGGCTTGGGACTGTGACCATCTCTGGGAAGAACCTTTTCCTAATATCCACTCTAACCCTCCCCTGACACAGCTCCAGCCGTTCCCTCAGATCACCACAGAGCAGAGATCAGGGCCTCTGCTTCGTGAGGAAGCTGCAGAACTGCTGTGAGCTCTGTCCTCAGTCTCCTCCAGAAAAACAGACCAAGTGCCCGCACCTGCTCCTTGTGTTGCTTTACCTCGAGGTCCCTCACCGACTCCATGTCCCTCCTCTGGACACTCTCTTGCAGCTTAATTTCTTTCCTACGTTGCAGTGACCAAAACTGCACAGACTCACCAAGGTGAGGCCGCAAAAGTGCAGAGTAGGAAGAATTTGCTCACAGAAAGGGCGATCGCACATCAGAGTGGGCTGCCCAAGCAGGTGGTGAAATCACCGTCCCTGGAGGTGCTGGTCGTGCTGGGTCTGGTCGACGCGGTGGTGTTGGGTCACAGGTTGGACTCGCCGATCACAGAGAACTTTTGCAGCCTGACTGACCCCGCGGTTTTATCAGCGGAGCCCCGGGGCGGCCATTGCTGAGGGGAGGTGGGGCCGCGCGAGGGGAGGCGGGGCGCGAGCCGCGCGCCAGCCAATGGCAGCCGCCGCCGCCGCCGCTGGCCCCGCCCACCCCCCCGCGCGCACGTGCCGGGCAGCGTGCGCGGCGGTCACGCGGGCGCGCGCGTGCCGGCGGCGGCCTGAGGGGCGGCCGCGCGCTCGGGACCGGGGCGGGCGGACGGACGGACAGACAGACAGACAGCGGCTCGGAGCGGGGCGGGATCGCCGGGGAACCGGCCGGGCTGCCCGGGAATCTCTGGCAAAGTCACCGCGAAGCGGCCCCGTGGCCCCCTCCCTGCGGTGCCTCCCGGGAGTGCTGCCCGCACTGACGCGCCCGGTGCGTGCGCGGGTGCTGCCCGAGCGCTCCCGGACTCCCGACAAAGCGTCACCGAAGCGTTTAGGCTGGAAAAGGTCCTCTGACATCATCGAATACAACCTATGACCGAAGACCACCGTGTAAAGCAGACCATGGCATTGAGTGCCAATCCAGTCTTTCCTTAAAAACCTGTAGGGACATTGACTGTCTCCCTGGGCAGGCACTTCCAATGTCTGATCACCTGTTCAGTGAAAAAATATTCCCTCAAGTCCAACCTAAACCTCCCCTCATGTAGCTTAAGACCGATGCCTTCTTGTTTCAAGCAAAGCATAAAAAGATTTTCCAGCTTTAGTTCTTTTCCAGCCTCTCGGCCCCGTGCAGAACAAGAGAGTTCAACTTGCATGTTAAAAGGAGACATTCTTGTTTCTCCTACTGGTAGTCCTGTAAACATTTCTGGAAATCATGCTGCCAAGAGATGATGTGGAATCTCCCTCACTGGAGACATTCCAGAACCATCTGGATGCAATCCTGTGCCATGTGCTCTGGTCCTGCCTGAGCAGGAGGTGGGATGACCCACTGTGGTCCCTTCTAGCCTGACCCATTCTGGGATTCTGTGAAGAGAAGCTTTTTTTCCCTCTGCAATAGTCAGCTCTTGGTGGCTTATGACTGTTTTTGATGGACATACTCATATTCCATGTCTTGCTGCTGGAACCTAGGGCCCAGCCTTACAAGCTTTACTGGAAGCTGTGATATCCATACCACAGAAATGCTGATCTGGGTCACAGGCTCCAAACCTGAAGCCAATGCAGTGCATTCCAACCACATCTATGAGTATTAGGCCCATGCAGAGGAGCTGCTGTTCCCACCCGGATGGGCTCTTTTGCAAACAACATAATGTGTAAGGAAGGCTGTGGGCCTGCCTGCCACTCACACAAGGGTTGGAGCCTTGGCAACCTTGTATGGTGAGAATAGAATCCACTTCAGTGTCTGTCAGCTCATCTGGCTCTGTGCTGCAGGTATTAATGCAAACACACTTGGAAAGACAATTTTCTGCTGAGGAAGAAGGTGCTATAACTACATGGTTCTTTTCCTGAGGTTATTCCCTAGAAATGACTTAGTTATGAGAGTGCCTTGGTCTCATCCTTATAAAACATCTAGCAAAAAAAGCAAAGTAAAAAACCCAAACGAGCAACCAACGAGGCTTTATGGAGGCAGGAGAAACAACTCTCCTTGGTCCCTATGACTCCATAGAGCCGCCTGGGATCAAAGTCCCTGTTTGCTGAAACATAAGGGAATTTCTTCTCACCTCTCCCAGGCATCGCCTGCATCCTCTGGGGCGCCGGGAGGGCCAGGCTTTTTTCACAATGAGCAAATTCGGCGTTTTCTGCAATTAGAAGGCAGGAAACTCTCAAAGAAGGCTGGGATCACACCATTCCAGGAGCTGAAGTTCGTAGGGAAAAGGAAATGCATTGCGAGACCCAGGTTACAGGGCAGGCCAGGAATTCAGAAGTGCTGAAACACACCTTGCACCCAGTCCCTGGGCTTGCTGGATGTCAGACATTCAGTCTGCCCCGACTAAAGTGAAAATTAAACAAACAAGACCCAAAACACAAACTCAGGACCTACTCCAAGGCCCATTGTGCTCCAGAAAAGGACTCACGTGCCTTAAATTGTAGGTCAGGCCTTTCTCAAGCAGGGTTGATAGTCAAGTTCTGTAACTGAAACATTTTCAAATACAAAAATTCCTTGTTCTTCAGTTGGGAGTACATTATATTGCCTTCCATTGGTTTAAAAATCCCAACCATCTTGATTTAACACACTCTAATGCAGCCTGTCATGCCACTATAATATACTGGATTATAAAATCTGATTTCAATGTTTATTGCTTAGGAAACCAAGCTTGCATCATTTATCTTGTGGTTTATGGGACAACAGAATATGGATTCAAATGTAAACAGTAAATGTAGCACCCAGTCCCCCACTCTCAGCACTTCCATAAGGGAATGTATATTTAAAGATGGGAAGCTCTTGTCCAGTGTTTCTGTGATTGTTTTTAACCTCAAGAAAATTCAAGACGTACAAATTCATTTGGATCCAAAGAGATCTGAGGAAGCCTGGAATTTAATAATTAAGGCTGACACTATGGTCCCTCCTGTCATTTGCCTTTTGCCTCCAGCAGCAGTGGGTTATCAGCCTCAATTACAAACCTTTTTCCCCCATATTTGCTTTTGTTAGGCATTGGGATTATCAGAACACACATAATTTGTCTTTATTTTTTATATAGTAAAATGTAATAGATTTCACTGATGCTGGAATACACGAGCACTTTCATCCCAACCTAAATGCTGGCCTAACAAGTGTTAAGCTGTTCTGGTATGCAGGTCAAAGTTACCGAGGGGAAGGGTTGAGCCCAGCTCACTTTCATTCCTGTGACAACAAAGTGAGCAGAACACATCCAAAGACAAATGGAGGCAGACACAGACTTTTTCCCATTTCCCTACCTAGTAATTTACTTCGGCAGGTAGAGTTCTGCACTGTAGCAGCCTTTGGTCCATTATTTTTGGAAGAAACATGTCTATGTGGCCACTGGTATTTGTAGATAGCCTGCCTGTATCTCTCATCTGAATTAAATTTACTATAGCTTCCATGCGAAGACGCCTATTTCTTAGCAATCCTACTCGAGTAATTGAAAAGAAGCGCATCCAATTTATAATTCGTCCTGTGTTTTAAAGGACTGATGGATTTAACACAAGTCTTAGGAGCTTTTTATTCCATTCCAACTTCATTCCTTGTCAGTGTAGTCACCGGTACTGGAGAACCAGCAGAGGGAGCACGGAACGTTCCCTTCATCTCTCTCTTACGTAATCACTGGCTACTGTTGGAGGCTTTCCTTTAATTTTATTTCCCTGCAAGAATTTTTGGAAGGAAAGATGATCTGCAGCTCTGCGATTCAATCTGTTGAAGCCTTTAGGGTGCTGCATTTCCATGCTAGAAACGATCTGCCTGCTTCCACCACTCCGTTCCTCCTCTTCCTCTCCCTCTACCCCTCACCACAAAATATTTGGTTTTTCTAGAGTATTTCCAAGCTGGGACACCCATCATTCATTCATGCAGAGATTGTGATACGTCATTAGATTGTCAGACAAATCATAAAGTTTGTTCCTTGTGAGCAAAGAGAACTCCCATGCAGCACCAGGGCTGACAAGTGTTAATTTTAAAGATAAGTGTTTTGCAAAAAAAGAAGAGGAAAAAAAGTAGATGTCAGGAAGAAACCTGTGTGTTCCACTCTTTGCTTTGTGAAATGCGCACATATTAAACCAGTTTGCCAGAGAGAGTTAAAGGAAACCCTGCAAATTCAAACCCAGATTAAAAATGTGAATTAAATCATCATCATCCACACAATCAATACAGTTTGAAGCTCAATGCACCAATTATTATGTATTATCATTGCATTTTTAATTAGTAGACAGCCCCACTTTTGTGTATTAAAGTTTTTATTCCTTATTAAGAAGTTTTTAAATCACAAAATAGTGTGGAAATATTTAGATAATAGAATTCATGGAGTGCTGGAAAATACTGAATATAAAGATTGATTTCTAATATATCACATACTAAACTGTCCTAAAACAGCTGGTTTCTTGCAGACAGGATTTATTTTTTTTTAATAATTTAAGACAGCATAAGCTTGTATCAAGCATAAGCATTGTAACAAAAGTGCAACTTTTTCAGCAAATCCTCCCAAAAGATATTTAACTCAAAATATCATTAACACATATTTTTCTCCCTACAAAAATAGCATGTCAGACATCATTAATTGGATGTATTAACAACTATTTACATACAGCCACTCTGTAGGCTAGTAAGATTTCTTTTTTTTTTCTTTTTTTTTTTTTTTTTTTTTTTTTTTGTAACGTTGTTTAAACACAGCGTTTGAGGCAAACAGTAGCAACAGCAGCAGCAGATGCACCAAATGGACTGACGGACCCCGGACACGCACACACTCCTCGCCAGGCTGTGGTGTCTCACCTCTTACATAACATTCAAGTGAGATTTCTCACAGTGCTACCTTGGCAACAAACTAAAAATATCTAGGCAAGGTCTTGGTTTAAGCCTTATTATAAAAGCTTTATCTGTGTGATTATCTGGCGTCTGGTTTGTCTCCAGAAAGGGAAAACGCAGTATTTGAACATGGGATGAGGGAAAAACCCATATGGGAAACTTACCCCAACGGGGTTGTTTCTGGTTGCACAGCGAGGTGTTTACCTATGGCCTCCAGTTTGTGTCACTCGGAATTTAGAATAAAATGAGTTCAGGCTGACAAGCTGCTCTGTGGTTTTTTGGGGGAGAGAAGGGGGTTTCTTTTTGTAGTTCAGTGCAGTAACATTCATTTTATACAGCAAGGTTTTGGGGGAAAAGAAAATCTCTCAGGTACATACTGAATTAAATAATGGGGTGAGAACAAATGCACTTGCCACACCTGTATACCTTAACCAAAAAAAAAAAGAAAAAAGAAATAAACACAAGGTTATGTAATGGGTCTGACCCTCTTTTCCTTGCACACCCAAAACTTGCTGGAGCCAGCGGCATTCCCGGGTGCTCAAGGCACTGCAGGTTTGGGCTCAGGGTGCATCCTCCACACTCCGGTTCTCCATAAAGTGCTAGCACAGGTGCTGGGCTCTGCCCTTCCTCCCTCGCCTCGCTCTCCTCCCTCACCCTGAACCCATCCAGGTCTCCCGGACAACAAGTGCAAGTTCCCAAGTGGGACTTAGGGACACACTGTATAAACCCATTCCAAATAAGGTGCCACATTTAATTACTCTATATAGAAGAAAAAAAAAGTATCCTTACTATGTTTTCTTCCTTCTTCTTCTTTTTTTTTTTTTTTTTTTTTTTTTTTGTTTGTTTTCCTTATTTATGCATTTATAAAGCCAAACATTAAAAAAATACTGAGTAGCAAACTTTATCCTCGACTGTCCTCTGCGGGGGCCGCTCCGGCAGCGGGACTCCCCCGGGCCGGGCCCGACACCCCGCGGCCGCCAGCTCCCGGCGATCACCGGCCCCGGCGACCCCTGCCCTCCGTAGGAACCGGGGGGTGCAAGTGCGGGCCCGACGGCCCCTCAGTCCGAGGGGAGGGCAGCGGCGGCGGGGAGCCCCCGGGGCGTCTCACGGGCCCTCGGCGCCGGGCTCCTCGGCAGCTGCGGGCTCGGGCTCCTCGCCGGGCTCGGCGGCGGCAGCGAAGGGGTGCGGGAGGTGGGGCGTCGGGGGCAGCCCGGTGGCGGCCGCCGCCGCCTTCTCGGGGCCGAGCACGGAGGAGAGGCAGGGAAAGGAGGCGGCGGCGGCTGCCGCGGCGGCGGCCGCCTGGGCCGGGATGCCCGGGTAGAGGAGCGGGATGGGGGCGGCGGGGTAGAGATACTTCTCCAGGCTGCTTTTATCCAGGAAGGGTTGCATGTAGGCGGCGGCGGCCGAGGGAGAGATGAAGTAAAAGGGCAGGCAGAAAGGGGCCGCCGCCGGCTGTCCGAAGGGGGCCCCGCCGCCGCCCGCCCCCAGGGCCATCAGCGAGCCCAGCAGGGCGGCGTCGGGTCTGACCAGCGCGGCCGCCGCTGCCGCCGCCGCCGCCGCCTCGGCTCCCCGCGCCGCCAGCCCCGGCGGGACGGGCATGGGGCTCCCGCCGCGGTCCAGCTTCAGCCGCTTGGGCGCGGGGGGCACCTCGTCCCCCGACGGCTCCTGCTTGATGGCCAGGGCGGGCAGCGCTCCGCCGGCCGCCGCCGCGGGGCCGCGCTCGGGGCGCGCCTCGCCCTCCCCGCCGTAGCCGCTGTCCGTGTCCGTGTCGGTCTCGGCGCTGAGCTCGGCGGCGTGAGTCCGCTGGATGACGGGCACGCAGTTAGCCTGGCCCTCCGGCTTGTGGCCCGGCGCGCACGGGGGGGCGGGCGGGGAGGAAGAGGAGGTGGATCCCTTGCTGAGGGGGCCCGGCGGCGGGGAGAGGAGCTGAGGGCCGGGGAGGAACTGCGACGAGATGGAGTGCAGGTGGCCGAGGAGCTGCGCGCATCGCTGCTCGCGGGGGGTCCAGCTCTCGAAGCGGGAGAGGTACTGCAGCACTTCCTTCGCGCACGTCTGAAAGCCCGAGTGGAAGGCGTCCAGGTCGGCCTGCACCGGAGACTTCATGGACCGCTCCCCTGCGGGGGAGACCGAGCGGGGACAGCGTTTACCCGCGGCTCCGGCATGGGGTGCCCCGCTCCGCGCCTCCCCCTGCCCGCCCCCGGTGCGCCCTGGACCCCGCTTACCATTCTGCAGAGCAATTATCTTCTGGTGCTGCTGCTCTGTTAAGGCTGTTAGCGCTTTCAAGTGCTTCAGAGTCAGTTCCAGCACCACCGCTTTCTCCAGGTGTCCCAGCGTCTGCAAAGGCAAGGGTAGGGGGCGGCTTGGCTATCGCCCGGCAGGTTTTGGCTACTGCCAAATGCCGCCTCCGTTAACTTCGGTGAGACCGGTCCCCGAGGCATTAGGGCCAGGACGGCGGGCGGGCAGCAGGCAGACAGCCCGGCGTCCCGGGGACTGCGCAGCGGGCAGGCTGCCGGTGCCTGCATCCGCACGGGCACACACGCTCCTGGGCATCTTACCGTTAGTTTCAGATGCTCGGGCAGTAAATCCTTCAGCTGGGCAATGCATTCGTTAATCCTGTCTCGCCTCTTCTTTTCTATCAGTCTATGTGGCAGTTTGTACGTTTCCTAATTGGCAAAACCCGGAAAAGCCAAGTGTTAGGCAGAGTCCCTCGGAACGCCGATCAAAACCAAAACAAATGTCATGCGGACCACATGCCGCGCAAATTATCGTCAAGGCACCGCTCTCCCCTCCGTGCCAGCTCGCTCGTAAACCCACTTGCGATTCGGGGGGCAAGTTGTATGCGCAGCTCCCCGGGGATGCTCTTGGGAGCGAAGCTACTCTGCAAAATTCAGCGAGCCCCAATTAAGCGGTTAAGAGAGAAGAGAGCCCCAGAAACTTATCCTTACCTTGCTCTCGTCCCTCTTCACGCCTCTTTTGGGCTTGCACATATACAGGGCAGGGTAGTCCAGCCTGGAGAAAAACACAAAGATCCAGCATCGGCAAGTGCAGCGATAGCTTGCCTAGCACCTCCTCGAGTGGGCACACGGGCGCCGAGCGCTCTGCCCGAAGGGCCGGGCAAGGGCTCGCCCGGGTCCGCCAGCGGAGGGAGGCGGCGAGCCCCGCGCCCCGCCGGGGAGCCGGCGCCGCTCCCAGCGCTTCCCAGCACTTTCTCAAGAAGACGAAACGCCGTAGAGATACGAGACGGAGATAGCGCCCCGGTGCCTTACCCTATAAAATCCCTATGCTCCAGTAGCTGCCTCTCCGGCAAGCGGGAGATTCCTTCATCCATGTCTGGCAGCGGCTGATGTTTCGTCGCTGCTTTTGACTGAGCCTGCGGGATGCTGAGATCAGTCTCGGGAGATCCGCGAGCGACGCTGCGCACATGCAGCCTCCGTCCCCCCTCTCCCGTGCAGTGGCCAAAAGTGTGCGGCGGTTCGTCCCCCCCCCCCCCCACCCCAAAGTGCCTCCGCCGCCGCTGCCGCTCCCCCCCCGCCCGCCTTCGCTGCGCTCCCCGCGCACACGCCCGCAGCTCCCGCCGCCGCCGCCGCCGCCGCCGCCGCCGCGCCTGCCCGCGGGGCACGCGCGCCGCCAGCCAGCCCCGCACCCGGCTCACGTGCGGCGCGGGCGGGGGCGGGACCGGGGAGGGGACGGGGGGGTCCCGCCGCCCGCCCGGGGCCGCCCTGCGAGACAGCGGCTTCCCCCCGTGTTACTGCTGCTGCCGCTGTCATCGTCAGCGTTACCGCCGGGATGATTGCCGCTCTCACTGTGTTTTTATTATTTTTATGTTTCTTCTAATTTTAATAGTTATGAAATATTTTTACTTTCATTACTGTATTTTTTTTTTTTTTTTAATTTGGATCCGCGGAAGAGACCCGCCAGTGGAAAACGTGCCCACGGCATCAAGGGGCTAATAATCGAGCCCCTCTCTTGGGGGGGTGCGGTTAGGGGGTCACGTTCGCCATACGTTTTCTATAGATTGCTATAGGACGCGTGGGTACGAACAGGCGCACGCACACGCGTGTCACTGTGCGGAGCGGTCCCTGGCCCGGCGCCGCTGTGCCGCAGCTCTCGTCCCCCGGTGCTCCCGCCCGGCCGCCGCTGCTCCCGGCAGCTCTCCCTGCCGACCTTTGGACGGGAGCCGGATCTGCCTGCAACGCCAGACCGCGGCAGAAGCGCTCCTTCTATACAGACGGACTCACGCATAGAGGCACATACATATAAAAATATGTCTATCTCTAATGTAAACACATCGGCTGTTGACGCTGCCCTCGGGCAGCCCGCATCCCTGCGGGGCGCAGGGGGTGACATTGGCAGAGGATTTGCACCGGTGCAGCGTGACCAGCCGCAGCAGCCCCGGGACGGGGCGGGGCGGGAACCCCGCCGCCCCCCCTCCCGCGTCCCCGCGCGCCGGGCGCGCCCGCGCAGCCCCCGCTCCCCGCCGCCGGCGGCGGCACCGACAGCCGCCTCCCTAATCCCGTCTCACACTGGTACGAGCACAGGGCCGGCAACGTGACCCGACCTGCTGCCACATCACTGCCGCCGGGCTGCACCGGGCGGCCCTTCCCCGCCGCCCCCCGCTAGCAGGCGGCGGCACCGGGCGGCACCGGGCGGCACCGGGCACCCCCGGCACGGGCTACCGCGGGCCGTGCCCCTCCGGCCCCGGGCAGCCCCCCGCCCCTCTTCGGGCAGCCCGCCAGCACCCTCCTGTCAGCGGAAGGACGGGGTGCCGGTGTCCGAGGGAAGGGGATGCTCTTCTTTTCCGTGCCCCGGGCAAAGGCGCTGTCTGGGCGTGCGTGTGTGTCCCCGCGTGTGCGTGTCCCGGCCTGCGTGTCCCCGCGTGTCCCCGCGTGTGCGCCGTGCCTGCACGCCGGCGCCGCATGTGTGGCCCTGCAACGTGCGGGGTGTGCAGCGTGTGCGGGGGAGCGCGGCGGCCCCGGCCCCACGTGCGGGGCGGGGGGAGCGGACACCCCGGACACCGCCACCCCCTCTCAGAGCCGGGCTGGCGGCTTTCTCTCCGGTATTCCCGGCGGGAACCGCAGGCGGAAAGTGTCAGCTGAGGCGATCCATAGCCGCCGCCAGGGCTGACCGCTTGCTTTTCACTTGGTTCAGTTTTGCTCCCTCCCTTCCGCGGGCTCCGGCTCCTGGAGGTGTGTGACCTCCAAACCCGGGCTCCCACAGAATCCAGGCGGATGGGGAGGCGGGGGAATTACCCCAATAAATACCAAACACGCCTCCGGCTGCCAAAATAGAGACGGGAACCTCACATCATTCCTGTCTAAAGACCGTGTTTTACAGGTAATCTGGCCAGAAGGGTAACTCGTGATTTTTGTGTGCGTGGGGGGGGAAGGGGGTGCTGCCGAACCGCACTGCCCGTCTGTAAAGTGCGAATGAGGTTTTAGGAGCAGCGAAGGCTCTGATGAGGTGTTTGAGGCTCCTGCTTGGCAAGCAGCAAGCGGCACTGCGGGCTTGTACAGCTCTTTCCCTGTTAACTTGATGGCATTGCCACACTGTCCGAAGCTAAACCGGACAAAAAAAAAAAAAAACAACAAAACATACATTTGTGCCATGTGCATATAGGTTATAGGGGTGCGGGGTCAGAAGGAGAGGCTTATGGACTGCTACAGAGGTGGGTGGGAGAATCTGCTGCTGGTGCAGAAAGCAAATTGTTACACGTGTTCACAGAGTCATAGAATATTCTGAGTTGGAAGGGACCCACAAGGATCCTGGAGTCCAGCTCCAGACTCTGCACAGGACAATCCTACCAAGTGCCTGAGAGCATTGTCCAAATGCTTCTTGAACTCTGTGAGTCTTGAAGCTGTGGTCACTTCCCTGGAGAGCCTGTTCCAGTGCTCAGCCTCTGTCTGGGGGAAGAACTTTTTCCTAATATCCAACCTAAATCTCCCTCTTGGGTAAGCCTGGACTACAGAGCAGGTCCCTAGGGAAGGGGGACCACAGACTGCAAGGGAAACTTACTCATCAAGGACATATTGTTTGCTCCATGTCAGTCATCCATGCTGGACATCTAAGGTAGAGCTGCAGGCTCTCTTGTTAGTCAGTGGAGAGAAACAAGCAGCTTCAGCATAAAATATCTCTCCTCATCACTGGACTGGTCCTTGAAAAAGCATCAAGTAAAAGGAGCTTAACCCTGACCTAAAGCACATGGAGACCTTTTGGGGGAGTGCTGATTCAAAGGGAGCTTGAACTCTGAAAGAAAAGACAGTTCTCTGGAGGTGATTCCTCCCATGGGCAGGAAAGGAGGGCTTTGCATGGTTTCTGTAACAGACAGGGTGGGGAGCAGGATGGGTGAGCATTTCTGGAGCAATCTCCATATGGAACACCTGGAACATTTCTGGATCATTTCTTTGCCAGCTTCATCCTCTCTGGAACAACATGCAGATCTTCAAAATACGGAAAGAATGTCCAGGGTGAGACCCAGCTTCTAGGAAAAGTTCTAATTCCTAGTCCTCTGGAACCAAGTGGGAGCGGAAATTGAAAATTACCAAAGACTCAAAACATGAGCTGAGACAGCTGGAGACTTTGCAAAAGGAGTTCAAACAACATCTGGAAACTTCTAAGAGTTTTATAAGAGGTCACCTGGAGACAAGGATAAAAAGCTTCAGTGTCCAGAGAGAGTGCAAAATCCTTCTGGAAGACTCCCAGTTTAAAAAGGCAGGATGGATCAAAGAGGTGATCAGCAGCACAAGTATCATGCAAAATAATGTTTTCCAGAAAATAAGAGGCACAACAAAAGCTTTGGCCAATTTATAAGCCAAGATGAACCACAGCAAAGAGTTAAGAAATTGAGAAAATCAGTGAGAAAAGGATATAAAAGGCTTGCAGGTTACCACAGGAAAAAAAACAGCCTCCTGCTGCAGATGAGCTGGCCAGCACACGGCCTACCACCATCATCTACCAGCATTTCCAGTCTCCAGGAGGAAGGAATCAGACTATTTGTCCCAGCTGATTCAGTGCAAAAGCCACAGTGTTTGAGGAAAATACACCTGGGAGATTTGTACAGCTCTGTCCATAACCAAGGCATGAGGGAATGGCTCTGAAATGGGAGTCCTAGGAGCCAATTTGATGGGGTCAGTTCTTATGTCAGTGAGCACTAGCCTTCAGGAAAAGAGATTAAATTATCTAGTCTGGCTGTATGACTAGAATCAACCATCAAATTAGAGAGAGCTGTGTGCCACAAAGTGGGGGACAAAGAGAATTCAGCTGAAGGATCTGGATTATTTTGGTTGAATAACAAGGTATTCAACCAGAGAAAATTGGACACTGACCTAATAACAGGTTTTTTTTTCAGTAAGGGGATGACCAGATTGAGATCAGGGAAAAAGGGAAATGTAAGCACATAAAAATCTGAGCTGGGTCAGACAAAAGGTCCTGGAGACCTGGAGGAGATGCTTTGGGAGGAGCAGACAAGCAGCATGGACGCAGTGCAAGCTCCCTATGCCAGTCTCCCAGGTCCTGGTGACCTGCAGGGCAGAGACTTTCTGAGTCAGGAACGATAACTCTGTATTTAATGGGAAGCCAAAGATGCCCTAAGAGGCTGAGGAATGTGCCAAGTCTTTAAATGATGGGCTGCAGCAGAGCATTGGGCCAGTTAGCAGGCAGTGAGAAGGTGGTCAGTCCTGTCAGCGCAGTGCTGTGGCTCACGTGGGGACAAGAAAAGAGAACTTCCACCTCAGAGAGTACCACACACACCCAATGTATGTAAAGCAAGAGAGACAGGGGCCATGCAAAAACAGAGCTGAGCTCAGAAGCAGAAATAAAATAACCTGAGTGTGGGAACGTGGTGGGCCAAGACAAGACACAACGTGCAGCGAGCCCTTTGCAGAGTTGCAAAATGAGGAAATGGGGGGAGTTCCAGCTGGGGGACAGAGTCAAGACCACATTTTTGTGGAGGACTGGTGCAAAAATCTTACCAGGCAGACACTGGTCACAGTCTGCTATACTTTGGCTCATCTTAGGCCATGTGAAATGGGTGATACCAGAGATGGGCCAGTCTCCCAAACCAGCCCTTGGGCTAACGGTGACTGAGCTAATCAGTTTGTAGTGGATAGTGGTGACAAGAGAATGTAGACACTTCCCAAACCTGGGGAAGTCAGAAATAAGGCACTGGAGCAATAAGGCGTGTTGATGTCCTGATAAACACCAGGAACTGTGCCTTATCCCATCAGTTTGGAAATTCCCTTTAAAGGTGTGTTTCCAGTGAAGCTCAATGTTTGCAGATGGCTGAGAACCTCTCCTGCCTTCGAGGACAGTAAAAAATAAAGGTGACTCCACTCTGAGGTCACTGCCAGCCCTGATTGATGAGAGAGTCTGAATCCTGGGACCTTCAGAGACTCTTCCACAACAGGTCAGTCAGATCTTGGGTATGTGATACAGACAGGATCTCCTGTCTGCTGGGTGCCTTCCAGGAACATCAACCAGGAACAAGTAAAACAATCTTCCCCCTAAATTCCCCCTCTGAAGTCCCTGGAAAGAAGCTCTGTCTGAGCATGAAGGCCCCTTGGATGATGGGTTCAGTTTGGTCAGTCACAAGAGATCTGAAAGTGTATATCAATCAACAGGCAGAAAAGACAAAGAAAAAGAAGGGAAAATTGCTTTCTCAGCAAAGCCTGACCTGGCAGTTTAGTGATGGCTGGGGGCTTATGTAAAGCCCCAGCTGTGCTGGAGAGGCTGTTGGGGAAGGCAGGGCACACCATGCCAACAGGAGGCCTTGGATGGCCTCAACCTTCCAAGAGGTCTGTTGTGCTTAGGCTATTTATGGGTACACGCCGAGACCTTTGAACAAGTGGTAGGTGCGTGGACAGCGTGGCCTGTGGTAAGTTCAAGGCTGACAGTTTCTAACTTGTCCCAAAGGAAAGGGAGTTGTTCCAAGAGCAGGTGACTTCAGCGTGCTCCACCAACTGGTGATGGGGAATTTCCACTGAAAAAAGCAAAAGCGAGACTGCCCGGAGCTGGCCCGCTCCCCGGAGCTGCAGGTCCACAGGACTCTGCTCCTGGTACAGAGAGAGATGTGCTGTTTATAGCTATGTTAACATTGCAAAACCTTGCTTGGGCACAGTGACAGATGGAGACCATTTTAGTGGCCAGCAGAATGAGATTTAGCAGTTTCCACCTGTGCAACTCTTGCCAGTGGTTAAATTTACTGATGGGTTCTGCTGGTATTTGCACAGGAGGAACAGTGTAATCAGTGTACTGATTTGTACAGGGGTACAGGCTGTGAATCCCTGCACTAGCTCATTCTGTGGGCTTCCCAAATGCAATTTGCCCAAGTCTTTAGGAAAACGGCAATTTTGCAACTGCACAATTTACGACACATCTGGTCATAAGTGGAGTAGCAGGGATGCCGAATCCAGGCAGAACCTTTGGGATGCAGTGCAACGGTGTCACAAAGAGTTGATTCTTCAGAGGGATGAATGCAGAGAGGGAGATGTTGTTTCCTCTCAAACCACTCATGGATGTGCAAATACTTCCCAGCTGACTCAGGAGAACCAAGAAGGGGAAGTGCCAGAGGAGAAATGTGGGCTCCTGAAGGTTAATCACAGAAAGAATCCCAGTAGGATATAACTAGAAAATGAGCTGGGAAACTCCACTGTCCTAGAGCACAACGTACATACATTTGGAGCACGATGGAGTGATGGATACCAAGGGAAAAGCCTTCTGGTCGTGGTGGAAAAGTCTGGAGGGAGAGGTCAAATAAGGCATAAAAGTTCTTGTGCATGAAAACAACCTATAGAGTACATTGTTAGGTGGGGTCTGGAGCAGGAAGTTCTGAGACTATTCTTTGAAAAACTGGCAAATGTTTTAAGCCACACTGTTTTTCTGTGCATTTCCAACAAGCTTTAAGCTAAGTGAAAAAGTCCTACATTGGTTAAGAATCAGGAAGGATGTAGAAAATGCATGCAATTTGCATGCAATGCATGCAAAAAATGCAGTCTGTGGGACTGTTATTTGCAATAGGAGATGAATGCCCCTATTTCAAATAACAGTGCCACAGAAACACAGAGAGACCCCATGAAACAGTGTCTGAGAGACTCATTCCATTAATGGGCTGCGTTGCCTGGTGTCTTTGGGTTTCTGTCTGGAGCAGATTCTAAAGGCTGCAGACTATTTCACAAAATGCCCTGGAGCTTGTCTGTTAGGACACCAGTGCCAGATGTCCAAGTGAAAGATGTCCTCTCCCTCCAACTCCTAGGAGGTAAGGGAGGATTGCACAAAGCTCAAGGGAGAAACTCTGAATCCAGAACTTTTCAGCAGATCTGTGGGGTGGTTGGGATCCCTAAAATAGTTCCATGTGACCACAGCCTGAAGGGTTGGTGTGATTTTTTTTTTTTTTTTCAGATTCTTCCAGTCAAGTGGCTTGCTCCTCAGAACTGCCTGAAGTGGTAACACCCAGCATATTCCAGTCTTTTGGGAGGCCCCAGGACAAGCAAAGCACTTCCTTATAGTTTTGATGAAAAACTAAGGCCTTCTGCATGCATTTTTATGGACTTCTGGGAGAAGAAGAAAGACTTTTGGGTCATGCATAGAAGCACATGTTCCTTTTTTTTTTTTTTTTTTTTTTTTTTTTTTAATCAAGTGGAAGAAGAAGAAACAGTGTGAAAGTCTTTAATACTTTGGACTTGCTGTATAAGGCCATGTGGTACTGACCTGGATATTTATGGTGGTTACACATTACAGTGGGGTCCCAGGCTGTCACAAGGGCCCATTAGAAAATGTAGCAGGAAAACAACACACTGGGCAAACAAAACTTCAGGGTTCCACTCTTTCTCTGTCCTTCCTTCACTGCAAATGTAGTTGTGGAAAGCTGAGGCTGGAGAAGCTGAAGCACAGATCCCCTTCCTCCCTGCTAGCTCCAAAGGGGCAGAGATTTACAGGAGCACTGCATGCACCTGGGAGTGGCTGCTTAGAAGGAAATCAAGGAGCAGAAAACGGCGAGAACAGGGACTATAAATGTTTTGGATTAGCAATAGGAAAATACCTTCCTGAAGCACACTGTGTAATTACAGTAAATAGGAATGTGTCATTCATCACTTCTTAAATTATTTTCTCTCATTCACAGTGTGGTGGGTTTATTAGAGCCTTGTCATTTTGAGCTCCTTCAGAATAAAGGAGGAAGCTGAGAGGTCAGGTGTGGGAGGGAAGCCGAGTCCTTCTACATCCAAGTGTGCAAGACAAGGAGACAGAGTAGTCTCCCTCCTCTAAGAGACAGAAACCATCCCATTCCAGACACTTGGCTGCAGACAGGTGAGTGCTAAGAAGATGTGAGAGAAGTCAGAGGAGAAGCCTAGTGTGCGTTTTTGGGTACAGATGCTACTTGGAGCCAGCTGGCTCTGGAGCAAAGAGCCCAACCGCTCTTGTATGAGTCCTCCGGGGTTCTGGTTGGGAAGGACTGAGCTTTTTAGCTAGAAGGACAGGAGGAGAAATCAGGGGATCTGTTGGTGCCTGTCTGCTTCAGCCACCACCCCAGATCTACCTGGAATGTGCAAGCAAGGAGAAGTCCTCTGCATTGTATAAGCAGCACTGGACTGGAAAGCCAAAGTATTCCATTGGCATAGGCACCAGCTGCAGCGGAGCCCCAGACCACGAGCAGGACAGCACAGAGCTCAGCACAGACACTCAGGAGAAGGGACAGGCATGTGTGATGATGACTAGAACCCACTGTCCCAGAGGGAAGGATCAGTCAGCCCTCAGACCCATCCTAGCTTGTCAGGACGTATCCAGGATACCTCTGGACCTTGTACCAGCTGGGAAATACCCCCTCAGCCATTGTGCCTGAATTCTCTGCTCTCTCCAGCATGCCCTTTGCTCCCAGCCCAGATGGCAGCATGGTCCCCTGTGCTGGCAGTGCTCCCCAGGGTGTGCAGTGTCACAGGGAGCTACCCCATGCTATGTGGGGGCTCTGGAGCTCTTGCAAGCCCTGCTTGCAGGGTGACTTGCCCGCAGTGTTATTCACCTCCCCGCTGTTTCAGCAGCTCGCTGCGTGCGAGCAGCAGCAGTGGCAGGCCTGGCAAGCCTCCCTTCTTCCCAGGGAGACTCTCCTCCCCCCATGAGCAGGTTTCCAGACAGCTGCCTTTTATGAGGGCAGATTTCAGGAAGGCTCTAAAACCCAGCCTCGTTTAACTCGTCTGCCCATCCTGCGCTCTGTGTCCTGCTGGGGAGGCATTGCATGACCCCTTCCAGCTGCCAGCAGCCAAGGCTTTCAACGTGGCAAGGGGCCGGGCTGTGTCTGGGCAAATGTTTTCTTTGTGCGGTCAGAAAGCCGGGCTGGGCAGAGGCGCCGTGCCCGAGGCACGTCCTGACAATGAGCCCCTGCCCACCCAGGCCACGCTGGGTCTCGGTCTCCCACGTTGATGGCAGGGACAGCGAGGGTGGCAGTGACCCTGGGTCTTCCCCAGGAGCAGGGTTTTTATCTCAGGAGAAGCAGGGAGATTAAAGCATCCTGGTGGGGAGGGTTGCAGGGTGCTGGAGAAAGAGCTCAGGGTGCACCCAGAATGGGGACAGTGCCACCCACATGGCCCACCTGTGGGGCATGCTGGCACCCACTGCCTCCTTGGCTCCTGGGCAGAAGGTGGTGCAGCCCAGCAGGAGCACCAGGGACCCCTGTCCACAGCCAGGCATTGCTGAGTTTGCTGTTCCATCACCCCCACACACACACACATGCACACACCCCGCAGCTGTGAGGGTCCAAATCACCTTTGCATAAAAATGCTTTGCATCCCAGACCCCAAGCACAAACCTTAAAGCTCATGAATTTATGTCAAAGTTGGAAAAGGCCTGTGTTATGCAAAGGTCAGTGTTTTGTTTTATTGCCCTTTGCTTCCTTTGCTGTCCTAACATGGTGTGAGGAGGAGGCCACAGGCTGGAGGGGTGCAGGACTCATGGAAGTCCTTGCCAAAGCAGGCAAGGCAGTGGGTGATGCTCACCCCACCCTCCCACTCAGAGCAGGGTAGGCAGCAGGTCCCCACAAATCTGCTCTGCTGCAAGGAGAAGAAGCCATGCAGCCATTTCAATATTTTCTTTGAACTTTACTCTGTGACTTTTCTAAAACAGCTGTGGCCAAAATTCAGCCTGTGGATCTTGGCACAGTGTCCAGGCCTTTGCAAGGAGGTCTCACTTGTGGGATTTCCTGTATGGTACAAACCACTCTTTAAAATCCCCAGTGTGTGAAGTCTTTAGCAAGGCAATAAGACCTTGACCAGCACATTTTTTTCCTGAACATCAGAGGCACTGTGAGGTACAAACACCTGCACCTGCCTTTGGAGCTGAGCTGAGGTGTGGGAGCTCAGCTGGGCAGTCAGGCAAGCAGGACCACATCCCCATTCATACCCATCCATGGCAAGGAGATTGGAAGTAGATTATTTCTAAGGTCCCTTCCAACCCAGGCCATTCTATGATTCCATGATTCCTCAGCCCCACAAATATGAGGGAGACAAGAAAGCTTAGAGTTTGTTATTAGCTTCCTATTTTGCAGATTAGCATTATCATTCCTGTTATATTTTTCATTTTAAACACATTTTTTTTGGTGTAGCCAAAACCATTTAGAGGAGTTTCTTGAAGCTCTGCAGAAGGACAGCAGCTGGGTTCTGGCAAGTGCCTGCAGCAGGACAGTGTGTCTCCTTTATGTCACCATTTCTGTGAGGCCAATCCATCCACTCTCAGGAGCACTACCCTTAACAGATGGGGATTTTTTAGCCTCCTTTCTGGGGTTGACCACTGCAAGAGTACCCTCAAAGCACTTGTATGCAGCTCAGTGTGGCAAAGTCCACACTGGCAGTTCAGGATCCCCACTGGCACCAGTACCAGGTACCAGAATCAGGTACATTTCCGATCTGCATCTTCATGCCTGGAGAATTCAGGCCAGATGAGACAAGAAGCAGAGACTTTCTCTGTAGAAGGAGGAAAAAGACCCAAGATGCCACATTTATATCAATCACCCTGTTTTTGCCACCGTCTGGCAGCTGGAGCCCTAGCAATAGAAGAGCTGGAGGCCGTTTCCAGCCTGGCCTGTGTGCAACATGGTGCCTTAGGGACCTATAATCAAAGTTTTGATTATTAGCGTAACATGGGTCATAAAGAGGAAATAGAATGAAATAAAATGAAAGTGCAGCTATCAGCTTCCCTTGAGTTTAGCTTGATCTATTTTAATTTAAATGGAAAATGCCACATAACTTATCTATAACACTCTAAAGCCCTAGTAAGGGACATATTGCCAGCGCTAGATAGTGGCATGTTTTAGCAGCAATATGATGGACATAAAGCTCTTTAATACACACAGAAAACCAGACCTCAAATGCTCTGTGAGGAAACTCATTTGGGTCTTGTCAAGAAAGTAGGGAGCTTGGGACAGGAAGAAGTGCACAGTAGCTGGCACGGAGTCCCATCATGTACCTTGGCATCTTTTTATCTGTTTCTGGAAGTTCTGAATGGCAAGAATAGAAAACATCCATCTCAAAGGTGCTGTGAGGCAATTTTGTGCACGTGAATTGTTTTGAAACCTCTGGGAGCCTTGCCCAGCTGTCATAGAGTGATCTCGGGCAGGGGATCATTGCCATGAACTCCCAATGTCCCTTCAGCAAAATGGCCGGAGGAGCTTTGCTCCAGTGCAATTTGCACTGCAGGTCCTAAGAGCAAATGAGCTCCTCCAAGATTGTTGTTATGTTCATGGCACCTTGCAAGTGGAATTAAATTCCTCTTCCCCTCAAAAAAGGCTTTGGAGAGGTGTGCAAGGTTTGTCTTCTGGAAATGCCCTCTCACATGGAGCTGGCACCCAAGCTGGCAGGGGCTGTCCCCTTGTGCCATGGCCCTGGGAAGGCAAACCTCCTCCAGCTCCCACCAGCACACTCGAGTTCCCACTCGATGTGGAAAGCACCAGGATGGTGTGGAGAGAGCTGCTCCAGGGGCCTGGCACCGATATCAAAGGCAGGTACGTGGCCTCATTTGCCACTCGAGGCAGCTGCAGGACGGCGCCGCTTCCCTCTGCAGGGGGAAGCTCGTGCACAGGGCCGGAAGCCATCATGGAACAGCCAGCTCAGGAAGGGGCCAGGGCCAAGATTTTGTTTTTAACCTGTTTTTTGTTTATTTAAGCCTTTGAGGAAGGCGAATAAAAGCAGCCAGCGAGCGAGGCGGGCTGTGTTGCAATCGGAGCTGCGTGTGCTGGCCGGGTCGCGGCGAAGGCAGCCTGTGTGACACCGCCTGTCCGGCCACTCCTGAGCCCCACAGAGCCACCAGCCGCCTGCACGGCAGCCAGGCTGCTCAGAGAAGGTGTCCTCAGCACATCCAGCAGCAGCTGGTGCTTTGGCTGCCTACAGGAGAGCTGTGCTCCCTGCCAGGCAGCGCCGCGGGATCAGGGCCCTGGAGCTGCTGCGGCTGCTGAAGGAGGAATTAGAGGCACAGATGTTTTGGTTATTTTGTGCAGAACAAGTTAAAGTAACTCGTTCCCTTTTGCAGAGAGGCAGCAATCCCAGATGCCTGGTCCCAGCTAGTGCTGCCTGTGCCACAGGGCTCGCTGCCTCCTGCCTTGAGAGCAGGGACAGACAGTCCTACAGAGCTTCTGGCCCTCTGTGCAGTGCCAAGAGATGCAGCACTGCCACATATTTGATGCTGCAATGGGACAGCAGCAGATTTGCCATGATCAGCCAATTTTTGTTGTAGTTCACATCTCCCTTGCCTCACTCATGCTCCCTGGTTCAGGTTCCAGGTTTTGCTCAGGGCAAATTCCTGTTCCATCAGAGCAATGCTTACCAGTGAGAGCAATGATCCAGGTACAGGCTGGGGGGAAACGTCTGCTCCTTTCTCCCATCTGCACTGGCTTCTGCTTCCCCTGTCTGTGATCTCACAGTGCTCTGGGTTGGGAGAACACTGCTTTGGGAACCCCCAACTATTCCCACCAGGTCTCAGCAATGTGTAGCTGGCAGCTGTAACTGGGACTGGGTTCACTGGGATGAAACTTGAACCAGAATTTGACCGTAGAGCTGGGAGGTAAACTCACAGTTTCCTATTGCAGAAAATGTAGACTCAGGTAGAAGTATCTTGTTTTTAACAGGCAGAGGATTAGTTCCTGTTAGAAGTCATCTGATTTTTAAAAGGTAAATAAGATGTAAAAATTGGATTAAGTGAGAATGTCACCATGGGGAGGGTCTGATTTGGGCTTGGGGTCAAAGTACAATGTGTCAAATAAAGTGAGAGCATTGCGAGTTTGGATCCTCTAACTTTCATCAATAGGAGCTACCTTCACCTCTTAATGTCATTTTAGAAGGACCCATAAAGGTCACTTGGTTTAACCCACTTCAGAAAGCTCTAAGCCAATGTTAGGATGCTTTTCTGAAATGCTTTTTTCCCCTGAGAGAGTGGATGGATATGCCATAATCTATTGGTAATTCTCCTTCCAAGTTTGCTTAAAAAGTAAATGAAGCCATTTCAGAAATTCTGCTGACCAAAAAAAACCAGC